TAAAACTTTCTGGTGTGTTTTGATGGCCACGTTGGAACTTCTCTGTAGCAGGACCAGCTGGCTGCCAACAAGCTGCACAGGGTGTTGCAAATTAGTAAATTTGCCATGACCCGAAGCTTGGCTGTTAGAGAGCCCTGCATGAGTCTTACCAGTGCTTCCAGCCAACTGCACTCAGGGGCACTGACGTGTACCTTACAAACCCATTAAAAAAGAGCATGGGTGATAGACCCATACTGGCCTGGCTTTGCCACATAATGGCTTTGAGCTTGAACAACTAATTGCCCTCACTAAGACTCAGTTTTCTCCTCTGTAAAATGAAAATGATGCTCTACCTATTGTAGTTATTGTGAGGACTTGACAAGATAGAATATTTGGACTATAGTAAGAATGTAACAAATAGAAATGTAATATTAGTGATAATGATAAGGATGATAGTAATAGTGACAATGACAGCCATGATTAGAATAGCCACTTGCTAATTTGCTACTGTAAATATTACTGTCTGTTTTATGGGACAGACCCCTCAGCATTAACTGAAAGTTTTCTCCCTGTAGACAAATCGTACATAGGAAGACAAACTGTCAGAAAGTTATGTAGTACCTCAAGTCTTAACTAGGGGAGTTAGTTTAATGGTTTACAGTCCTAATGGCCTGATGCAGCCCCCTGACCACATGGCTGTAACTCCCAGGTTACCCAGACCTTCCTATCCATCTATCAGGAAATCTCTGTCCTGGACAATTTTGAATTAACACTGGCATTCTCTGCCTCTCTGATTCTTCTTCCTTCTTCCTTCTTCCTTCTTCCTTCTTCTTCTTCTTCTTTTTCTTCTTCTTCTTCCTCTTCTTCTTCTTCTTCTTCTTCCTCTTTGTCCTCCTCTTCTTTTTTTTTTTTGATGTTTTTTATTACTGAGGAATGCTCTTCTTACTGGCCTCTTAGTTCTCTAATGATCATTTCCTCCTCTCCACCTAAGCCATTGCCTCCCTTGAACCTTGTCATCGCTGAAGCCCTCATCACCTCCAAAGTCTTGAGATCTCCTGTTCTCTAACCTTGGAAATTTCCTGTCCTTGTCTCTTATTCATAATCTAATATCCTCCTACATAATTTCTTCAACCACATTATAAATCCCAGTCCATAGATCCCAACACTTTCTATTCATTGTCTTCTCCTGCTATTTGTTTGGCTTCGGTTCCATGATCCAATCAATATTATCATTTCTCTGCTCACTCCTGATTCCCCTGGCTCTTCTCTCCTTCCATCACAATCATATTGCAAAACTCCTCCCAGGATGAACTCAGTGATCCATCATTTTCATTTCCATTCCTGAGCAGCTAAACATAAATGGAGAAATTCACACAATTAGACTGATTTCATTTAAAATTAACAATCTCAACATTTTCAATAAGTTCTCACCACTGGCAGAGTCCTACCATATTACCTCAGTAAGCTTGCTCCCCAACTCTCTGACATAAGATAACTCTTATGTCATCTTCCCTATTCAAACCTCCTACCTCTTTCCTGCCTTTTCTCAGTTGATGACTTTGCCTCATGCTTCACTTGAAAAAACTGAAACGTTTTCTCAACACCATCAAGATGTCTCTGTTTCTTGCACCCATCCTCTTCTTGTTGTTCTTAGTTATGAAACTAAGAAATTCCCTCTCCTTCTATCAAGGTCCAGTCATTGACATATTCTTTTGTTCCTATCCCATGTTGACTCCTGGAGAACTTTAGTCTCCTCAGCCCCATATCTTCACTGTCTCCTTCTCTACTGGATCATTCCATCAGCCTGCAAGCATAACATCTCTTGACTTTACATATATACATACCTTGACCTTATACCCCCCTTGCATCCACTCACTCACTGAACAACTCAGAGCTCTGGTTCTGCCTCACAACCAAACTTCCAGAAACAGTTGTCCATAAAAGTGATTTCTCTATTGATACTGCCCTCCTATTTTCCACCTCCACACTCCACCATAATTGCTCTTAATGTTACCTACAACTGCCAATTCTTGTCTTTTTGCTCTTTTTGGTTTCATAGTTCTCTAGCTTCACACTATATATTTTTTCCTACCTTTTTAGCCACTTCTCTATCTCTTTTTGCTAGCATCTCTCCCTATACCCATTGGTAAGCATGGAGTCCCTAGCATGATCTCAGACTCAATTCTCATATTTCTCAAGAACCCTCACCCACGGTGATTCATCTCTTCCCATGCAATAAACTACTATCTGTATGTTGTGCACACCTGAAATTGTAACTGTAGCCAAATTTCTCTTCTGGGGAGAGAATGTGTGTATTGAATTACCTTCTTGACCTCTCAAGAGCCATCTCAAAGTTGACATAACACTGTTAATATTCTGTCCACCTTAAGTAAAAACCATTTATCACCCTAGTCTTCTGTATCTCTGTTTAAATGACACCATCAACCACCCAGTTTCTCAAACTAAAATCCACAGCATTATCTTAATGTACCTCCTTATTCAGACTTCATATCTAATCTTTCAACCCATGAAGTTTCAATACCCAAAATACATCTCTATCTATTTTTCTTCACTCTGCCAACACTTTAATCTGAGTCACTATTGGGTTTTATCTGGACTATTGTGAGAGTTTCCTGAGTCTTCTGGTTTCCAATCTTGCAAAATCATAGAGCTCATCTACTTAAAACCCTTTAAAATCTTGCCATTGCATTTTAGTTGAGACATAAACTTGTTATCTCTACCTTGAAAGCCCTGGATGGCCTGGCCCATGCCTTGCCTCGCACACCTTATCTTGGGCTACTCTGCACCTCCACTGCTAATTTCCCTGCTGGGCTCATCTCCTTTCAGTTCTTTGAACACGCCTGACTTCTTATGCCTTAGGGCCTTCACACACACACACACACACACACACATATACACACAACATTTTCCCTGCTTCTTATGTCTATGACTCTTGTCTTTGAGGTCTTTGCTCAAATGTCACTTCCACAGAGAGTCATTCATCACCTACTTATGAAAGTGTTCTCAATTGTGTTTCTATAACTACAGTGGGTTTTATTCTTCACAGCAGTCATTAAAATTTATAGTTACATTTTTATCTGTTTGTTTGTATTTCTTTTTCTCTTTCTTTCCCCGTAGGCTGTGAGCTCAAGGGGCAGAGCCCAGCCCCATTTTAGGCACCGATTTATACCTGGTGCAGAGAGAAATGCTAGGACCCTTTCATTCCTCTGTACCTTACCTGTGCTCTCGTTGCTGCCTCTACCCAGTGTTGTGAATGATACCTGCAGCCTCCACTGATGTTTCCCCCTGCTGCTGAGGAAGCCTGGGACAGAAATTGAAGCTCATAAAAATATTCACTGAATGAATGAATGAGTAGATGAATACCAACATCCCATACATTTTCAGAACTTCTGTTCTCAATGAAGTTCTATTGTTAAGATTACCACATTTGTGTCATTGGGAATCGACTAAGGGAGATGTGTGTAAAGTCTGGCAAGCTTGACTTTGGCAATGCCCTCCTTTCCTTCCAATCCCCTTTTTCGGTCTGGCATGGAGCGGTTCCCCCCAACCTCCACTTCCACTCCAGGGATATCTTTTCTTCTTTGACCCTAGCTCTTCTAGGGAGTTAATTTTACCACTTATGTATGTTCTAGCCACGTTGGATTTCTCTTCACTTTCTAGAAATGGTTAAGACCGTTTCACAGTCTGTACCTGCTCCCACCCCAGGCTGTGAGTGACACTTGAAGACCCTGCTGATGATGTCCCCTTCTGCTTAGGAGCAAGTACAGATTGTGGCAGTTTCATCACCACTAGAGCCGTGGGTGCTAGAACCCATGGGCACCACTGGATGCCAAAGCTAAACTGGGCCCTCTGGAGCCCTTAACATCCAGAAGCCACATGGAGTAGGGGAAATGCTCCTCTCCCCTTCTGTGTCACATTCTGTTAGCTGGGTGTCAAAGCAGCATATCTTCTCTCCCCATCTCTAATGTCATAGAGTTTTTCAAATTTGGATTTTGTGGTCTCAGGTAGATATCAGAGTCCAAGACATTGCAATAACGTAATTAGTTTTGTTTTAATTTTGTTAAGTAGGGATAATAATGGCAATATAAACATATTCCAAGTCTTCTGCAGGGCCACCTTATGATCCAGTACTGCCACAACATTTCAAGGAGTACAACTAATTCGTATTAATAAACATATGAACTGAAAGTGTAATTACATTATGAAGTACTGCGCAACATTTTTGGCAACTGTTTGGAAAGAAAGAAAAGTGGGGTGTTGGGACAGAATTAATCTTTACATGGCACATGCCAATCTAAGCATGCCCCAGAGCATCATGGAAGGAATTCGTGTTGCCAACTGATGTTTTATTCTGACCCCATCTTTGAAGGCATCAAATAGCAACCATTGGTTATGTCTGCACATTCTTTCATAGGATTATAATAAAAATGCTTAGTTAATGTTAAGTTTCCCAAAGAATCTTTTAATCTTTTTTAAAAAATTGGTCAATACATTACTTGTACTATGAAATGCTTTATCAAGGAGATTTTAGCAAAATATCTCTTTTCCTTTTCATTTTTAATTCTTGTTTTTTTTTTTTGTTTGTTTTTAATAACCAACCCCAACTCTCTCAAACTCAGACAGAGGCTCTCCAGGGCTAGACTAAAAGATAAACCTAAACTCCTGACCCCATTATATACTCAGAATTATCTTCCTGCCCTACCTTCAAACCACTGGGGTGGCTTCTTAGGCCACACCTGGCTCTCCTGTAGGACTGATTCTCTCCCAGAAGTCTCTGTGTAACCAGCTTTCTGACACCCACCCCTCCAGTCCTCATACGTAAATGTGCCTTGTCACAACTTAAGCTGGAATCTCCACTAAGCTGACTTATAGAATGAATACATAAAAAATAAAGAGTATACAAGTGATTGAATGAGATGAAGAATTAATTCACCTGGCGGTAGAAAAGCCATTGCTTGCTCACTGTTTGATTTGGAGAAAAAAGTGTTCTCTCATTCCAGGTAATAGAAGACAAACTTAAGTTAGAAAAGGATAAAGGGAAAGCAAAATCTCCTAAGGAGAAAAAGGCTCCAAGTGCCAAGTCTGCCAAAGGAAAGGGAAAAGATCAGCCTGAGGCCAATGCACCAGTGAAAAAGACCACCCAGTTAAAACGGAGAGGAGAAGACGACGACACCAATCGTTACATAGGTCAGTAAGGCGCTGTTGCTGGCGGTGCCTTTCACGTGTTTCACTCCCATGAGTGAAACACAGTGGTAATAAAATCAGACCAGTTAATTTGGTGACTCACATAGAGTGCGTAGTTTCCTGACCCCAATTCCCTCGCAATCATTTTGCCCTAGGTAGAGACACTAGAATTTTCCTGCCTCACGACCTGTGATGCAATTGGAGCAGTCATCCCGATAACTATGCTTAGTCTTTCCCAGCCTTTTCACTCGTTAGAAACCTAAATCACTTACTCCCATGACATCCTGAGAGAAAAAGACTTATATTTGCAATTCATTTATGTCTGAAAGCAAATTTTTCTTGAGACAGGGTCTTTCTCTGTCACCCAGGCTAGAGTGCAGTGGCACAATCATGGCTTACTATAGCTTCAAACTCCCAGGCTCAAGCCATCCTTCCATCTCAGCCTCCCCAGTAGTTGGGACTACAGGCACATGACCATGCTCAACTTTTTTACTTATTAATTTATTTTGCACAGACAGGATCTCTTTATGTTGCCCAGAGTGGTCTTGAACACCTGGCCTCAAGTGACTCTCCCTCCTCAGCCTCCTAAAGTGCTGGGATTACCGGCAAGAGCCACTACACCTGGCTCTCTTAAACAAATATTTATTAAGCATGTGTCTTGCTAGGCCACATTTACACAGTGCAAATAAATGCTGAGATAGCCAGTTGACTGTGCCACCAAGGAGCTTACTATCTTGTGCACATATAGGAAAGTCAGACATAATTATAAAGCAAAATAAAAAGTGATTATGGTCATGAGTGAAACACAGTGGTAATAAAATCAGACCAGTTAATTTGGTGACTCACATAGAGCACATAGTTTCCTGACCCCAATTCCCCTACAGTCATTTTGCCCTACCTAGATAGAGACACTAGAATTTTTCTTACATTTTAGTTTATTAATATAAAAATGATTCATCCTAGGTAGCTGTAAGTAATTCATTCCTGCCTTCCCTTGAACACAAACGAGCTTCTTGTTGTTATCTGCATATTTAAATGAGATAGCAGAGGGCTTTCCCATCCTTTACCAGTTGACTCCCCTCCTGCATCTCTGCTCTAAATCTAATAGACTTGGAAGAAGTGATATTATGAAGTCCATCGGCAACATCAACATTGATTAGTTTAGTGCCAGAAGAAAAGTCATTACTTAAAAATGAAAAATTGTGCCTCTGTTTCACTATTTATGTATTGATCTTAATGGGCTTTTGTGAATGTAGTGCTTTTGTGTACCATGTGCATTCAGTATTAACGTGTAACAATTCTCACCCTCCAGAATATCACATTCTAAAATAAACTTATGTTTTAATATTCATAAAACAGTATAACCAGGGCCAAATAAAGGAGAAAAATGTTAGGAAAGTGCACACTATGTATTTTAAATTTTTAATGCAATAAATACATAGTTACTACATAATCCATCCTCGGATTCACACCCATTGACCTAAGTGCATACAACACTTTTTAAGGGAGCATGTCCATATTCAATATTTCCCTCTCCTGTAAACACCTCTAGTTATAAAATACTACAAAGCTGTAGCTATTTGTAATTCAGGAGTAAAGCCAGATGTTGCTCAAAAGAGATTAGAACCCAGAAAAGTTACAGGCTAAACTCTTTAACAAAAACCCAAGCACACATTTTCCATTACCACAAGCCCCATATAGGTTTGTCCTTCTAGTACGCCTATGTCTCATTTGCAAAAGTGATTTAATATTTTGTAAAATAGTCACAGCCTTCTTACTGGAAGAGCAATAATGAAAAACAGTCAACATGACTGCATTCCAGCCAACTGGATCATTTTTGGCAAGCCAGAGGGATTATAAATGCATGCATAATGTATATAGCCATTGAACTGGCTGAGTGCAACCTGCTCTCTTTTACAATGATGGCTGCTCTGCTTTATGGTATTTTGAACAGACGATGAGCCAGATGATGGTGCCCAACATTACATTATAGTCGTGGGCTTCAACAATCCTCAGCTATTAGCAATTATGGCTGAGCTTGGCATTCCTATAACCAGCGTGATTAAAATATCTTCAGAGAATTATGAACCTCTGCAGTCACACCTGGCAGCAGTTAACCAGCAGCAGGAAGTTCTTCTTCAGCCAGAAGGTATGCAGTCTGCTACACAACTTATTGAGTCCTTCAGTATTACCCACTGTCCTTAAAATACCAGTATAATTTTCTGTCCAAAACATAGTCATACAATTCGTACATTATTAAATCTTTTCAAAACTTTGATTTGCTATTTACTCTGCTTGCACCAGCCAAGTGTTGTAAATTTTGCAAATTAAAATCATACCCTGTGTTTATATCATACCCTGTGTTATATCCCTGTATAGCCACAGAAAACAGGCTGCAGGTCAGAAGACTTGGTTATCCAACTACCTTTCTCTGGAGCATTTGATCTATAAGTTTTACCTAAAGGATGGGCTGGATGAATCACTGTTAATAATCTGTTCTTGCAGAAGTCACGTCACCAAGTAGCCCAAGGGAGGTCACAGGTTTCTTGCCCTGTTCTGCTGTTGGCTTATTGTGAGAAGTCATGGGGGTGCTATATGTTCCTAGCCTTAGACTAGCAAGTTGTGGGATGAAGTTCCAATCATGCTGCCATTTAGCCATTTTGAGCCTTGAGGTCTTCATCTAAGAAGATTATCCTAGATGACTTCTGTGGAAGGGGAGCAAAAAGCCCCTTTTTGCTGGGGACTTCTGTGGAAGGGGTGTAAGATTGTGTTACCAGATGCCCAAGTCTTTTCTGCCATATGCTGTTGCTTGTATTGTTATTTATTAATAATATCATTTGCACAGTGCTTTGTATCTTAGCCACATCCCAACTTTTATAACACTACATTTTTAAATTGCTGCTCAAAGTTAGAAATAGCTACCCTTGATAATACTAATAGCTCTCACATATTGGGCTCTTGTCTTGGGACTAGGCTCAATGCTAAGGGCATTAAGTATATTGATTCATGTGGTTTTCACAACAAGCCTAGGAAGTATGTTTTATTGTTTCCATTTTACGAAAATGGACTCTCAGTCTAGAGGCAGCTATTAAGTTAAAAATTTGAGGTTCAAACCTAGGCTATTCCTGATTATCTCAGAGGATAGTTATAACATTAAATGGCTTGTTACTGAAGTGAGAAAATGCTGCATACGCTCCAAACACTGTCTCTCTATAAAAATATTAAGTATATAAAAATAAAATAAAAAATAGACTTTAAAATAGAATAATGAGATCTTTGTAGTAGAAACTACATTTAATTATAGATATAATAAGCATAAATATTTCAGGCAAATTTTTAAGCATAATTTTATGGAAATCTGTCATTATTTTACAGTAAAAGTACAAATACCCAGAGAAGCGTCTTGCTATTTAATGTGACCAAAAGGTAACTGAAACATACAACATTGATCCACTCTGTTTTTAGCAATATAAGAAGGAGAACCAGATAAATTGCATTTGTAATCAGTTATGTAGCAGACACTAAGCTGATTAAAATGGTGATTTGGCAGAAAAACTGGTCCTATGTAGATTGTCATCTAAGAGTGATGGAAATCTTGAACATATTTAGCTCGCAAAATGTGTGACCTAGTCATAATCTTTCTGGGCCTCAACTATAAAATGAAGGCATGAGATAAGCTCATATTTAATATGAATCTCAGAAGTAAAGTTCTCTGATTTAATAATTGTATACTCCAACTTCAAAAATTCATCAAAATTACATTCCTTTATTTACATTTTCTGGTACTGTACAGATATCTTGCATGTCCATCACCATGTCCACTTAAAGTGGGAAAACATTTAACACTCTTATTTTATAATATAAACATGTTGCTATTATTAGATCTAGAAGCAGAAAAATTGAAGAAAGAAAATGCCATAAAAGAGCTTAAAACTTTCTGGAAGTACTTGGAACCAATCCTGAATAATGAGAAACCTGAAACAAATCTCTTTGATGTTGCTAGACTTGAATACATGGTCAAAGCAGTTGATTTTCCTTCTGACTGGTCAGATGGCGAGATAATGGTTAGTACACACATTACTGAGAATGCATGGTTTTAATATGTGACACAATGGTTCTATTTGCTCTGTTTATTCATGACATAAATAGTTACTGAGCGCTGATTATAAGGCATTGAGCTAGGTTCTTTTATCATCAGGATAATGATAATATTGAATGCTCAATGATGGTTATAGTCTGATTCATTAGCTTTTAGTGTGTGAATTAACAACAAATAATAAGATGTAGTAATGATGATCAAAAGGATGGTGATTCTTTTATTTGGTGACACGTGGCTTTGTTTTATAACTCAACAATGTTCTAGGCAGTAATTAGAATTTTCATATATATTAATTTTAAAATAGTAAATTTTATAGTTTGTTGAATTATGTGTCTGACTTTTTATATTTCAGTTCCATACATTGCTTTTCTAAACCCTTGCTTTTATTCCCCCCAATTTTTTTTTTTTTTTTTTTTTTTTGAGACAGAGTCTTGTGCTGTCACCCAGGCTGGAGTGCAGTGGTGTGATATCACTGCAACCTCTGCTTCCTGGGTTCAAGTGATTCTCCTGCCTCAGCCTCCCATGTAGCTGGGACTACAGGCATATGCCACTATGCCCAGCTAATATTTGTATTTTTAGTAGAGACAGGGTTTCACCATGTTGGCCAAGCTGGTCTCAAACTCCTGACCTCAGGTGATCCTCCTGCCTCGGCGTCCCAAAGTGCTAGGATTACAGGTGTGAGCCACTGTGCCTGGCCCCAAAATCTTACTTTTAATATATTTGGCCTAGAAGGTCGATCCTAATAGGATGACTTGATCTTGGCCCTGTAGTTATCAGGCATTTCCCAAGAGTGGGGTTTCCTGGCCCCTGCTATTGAGGAGCTTGCAGAGAGGCAAGACTAAAACTGTGAAACAGAGAAGCAGTGGTCAAGGACCCACATATCTAGGGGCTCGGTTATGTGAAACAAACTCTTAAGTTTCCTCCTAATGCAGACAAACAAAAAATGGAATGATTGGAAATGTAGTGAATGACAGATGCATGACGGCTTTTTAACAAAACGGAAGGTCAAGTGACTACTTATGGAAGATGTTGTGGAAAGTATTCAGGCATCCCTCTGTTACAGAAAATGTCTCAGGTCTCTTTCTAGTTGACCCCTTATCCCAACTAACAGGGGCCTGGGAGTGTTGAATACTCTGCAGGACGATATATTTCAGCATTAATGGAGCTGAAATGAAAGCGAAGTCCTAGGGAAAGACAATATCAAGTAAGTGCTCTGAAAAAGGCTGGGAAAAGTGGAGTGTGGAGGATGGATGGGTATCTGCATAATAACTGTGGGTAGCTGACAAGAAAAAAACACACAAAAGCCAACTGTCTGAAGGAAGAGTGAGATCAAAGCCTGGAACTGTTTCTACAGCCGAGGGTAGGCTATGGGGCATGGACACTTCGGACTGTGAGTGTCCCTGGTTCTATTACCTTGAGATGGATATGCACTTAAAGAAGTAAGTGATAATGCTGAGGAGAGTGGCTAGACTTGAACCCTGAAGGATGGACAGGACTTGAATAAGTAGTAATGGAGAGATCCATTTGAGTTATAAAGACTCTTAACACAAGGCATTAGATGGCACTATATAGAAACACCACACTTAAGTCTGATATCCTGATGACTCTCAGCCTTGTTCTCTGCATGGAAAATAAAGCTGAATGCAGAAAAGCTGTGATAAAAAGCAGAGTTAGTTCTGGGAAAGACTGGAGACTCCAAACTCCCTTTGTCCTTGCCCCTCCCCACCCCTTCATCTAGATAGGTTCAGCTTTCCTGTCTTCCACTCTCCTGCCTCCTAAACCTGAGCTCACAGAAGGACCCACTGTCCTGTCCTTTACTATTTCATGTTGCCTTGGGTTAATATGTTTCCCTATCCCGGAGATATTGGCATTCCAAGTAACATATGAACATTCCATCCTGTTTTCTTGAAATTCTAGGTTATACTCAAAATGTGACATATATTGGGGGAAGAGGCTATTTCTTTGGGATCCTGAAATCCCACCTCAAATCCAGCTTCTTACTCTGTCTTCCACAGACCAGCTGTTCTCCCAAGCATGTAAAATCTCTGGTTAATAAAACTCACATCCACAAAGTTAAATTTTGAAGAAACACCGCTCCTCTCATTTGGGCCAAGTCCTGGCTACATACCCTATAAAGAACTTGTGTACATTTTTGGTTCAACAGGGTATGGGAGATCCCAGCCTTATAATTCCTGAACCATAATTCATTCAGAGGAGAATGCTTCTAAGTCAGTCTCAAACCGAGTACCTTTTGCTCCATCTCTAGCTAGGGCTCCCTACTGTGTGTCTTCTTTACTTTCCAGGCACAGGCTGAATAAAGCTGAAATGCATTAGTCTAAAATTGTGTACATTCCATTGCATCACCAGAACATAGACATGAACACTGTGGTATACAATGGCAACTTCAAAGGACCGAGCAACATTTCTAGCACTCTGCTTCCCACTGCAGTGTCCACAATTTCCTATTCATTAGATTTCAATCACTTCCTTTTAAAGAAAGTGGTATGGCTATATTTTACTTTAAAAATACAGAATGGAAGAGCTTAAATGGAAACTAAAGTTCAGAAAAATTATTTTATGTGGAAAAATATTACCATTCTAGTTATGGTGGAACATTCCTGACTTCAGAAGTGGAACATTAATGTAAAGGGTCTCTAGTTGGGCCAGGAAGGTAACTGTCAACAATGAAAACATTCAGGTCTCTACAGAGCCAATTAGGGCTGTGTTGCCCAGCTTCCCAGACTGATCTATTAGTCAATTTGCAGGTATTTACTGAATATCATCTTACACCAGGGCTGTGGTCTGGGTCCAACTGTAGTAACCTTTTAAAGCCCATGCATGCCTCTCTAAGATACGGTTTGTGAGTGAAGCACTCAGCATTGAGGATGATGGGAAGGGAAAGTCTTGAAAATGGTTCAGTCATTAAGTTGGATTCTAGAAGAAAAAGTCATTGAATTTAATAGGTAAGATCAAAGTTCATTTTAAACAAGATCATTTAATAAGAATAAAAATGATAAATCTACCTCTAGCAGAAGCAGATCAAATGCATAGTGTCACACTTTAAGCTATATCTGTAAACTGATAATGTCTTCATATCCAGAATAGGATCCATCCAAGGAGCCCTCTTCCCCTTTTATTGGAGGAAAGCATTTGCAACCTTTCCAAACTTTGGCTGCAAACAAGCAGGCTATATTTCTGTTGAACCAAGGTAACAAAAGCTTTACATCAAATAAATGCCCTTCAAGGCATGATAACTGTCCCTGAAAGACATCGGCAACATTTCAAGTTAAGACCCTGGTTGCTGAAATAATGTGTTGTCCTTAGCATATGATTTGCTGTTGGATTTTAAAATCTATTATCTAGATTAAGCTAAGGGATCACTGGGCAAAAGTTTTACTCTATTTCCTAGAAATAAAAACAAAACCAAAAACATATTTCTATGCCAGAATTTGGGCAAGCAATACCAGATTGAAGCTTGACTGCAGAAGCCTCAGCCTTAGTGGGAATGGGAAGTCAGCAAGCAACCAGGTGCACCATAGTGATTGGCAGAGCCGTGCATGTCACTGGACTTCTGCATACAAGGAACCATCTCATACCACCTTACTTCTTGAACTCAGACATAGGATGAGCCTATTTTGTTCTTCTTTGCTTCCAGTCAGACAGACCCAGCCATCACATTGCTTTCCTACTTCTGGAAACAAAAGCCCAAGTAATAGAGGTATCTGAGCTACAGTTTGCTTGCCAGCTCATAAAACTTGTGGGTATTATAGAAACAATAGTCTATCAGGATTTCTTAGTGTTTTTCCGTAGAGATAGAACAGGTGAAAGGAAAGAGGTGGAGGTTGGAGGAAAAGAAGAAATACTGATTGCCCAAATACTTGTGTAGATGCAACGTATTGGGTAGATGATCCACAAAGCAGAGTCAGTGTTTCCATTGTGCTCCTTGCATAGCCAGGTAAGAAATCATCTATAGCTTGTCACTGGCTGAGGATATTAAAGTTACCTAATGTGTTTTAGGAATTGAGATACTAAGAATATAGGCCACACTGCTGAAACTCATGACTCAGTTGTATTTCTTTTAGTTGAAGCATTAATTAGGCTCTTAAAACATTAGGCAGCCATATGACCCTCCAAAGGAAACAGTCCACATTGTTGTAAACAAAGAAGGACAAGAAAGGTTCAGGAATATAAATGGGGTCACCATGGGTGGGATTCAATGGTTTGGGGATTTAGGGGTTTGCTTTCCTGTATAAAGTTGATCGGCGTAGCTGTTAAGAGAGATATAAACCATATATCTGATTCCAACAGTATAAAACTAGTAACCAATTGCCATTAAATCTCTCACTTGTAGCTGAAATTGGGCACTGATATCTTTGAAAATATTGCCTGTCTGATGTATGACGTCCTGGATTGGAAAAGACAGCACCAGCACTATTTGGAAAGTATGCAGCTTATTAATGTTCCACAAGTGGTTAATGAGAAACCTGTATTAGAAGCCATGCCAACTTTGGAGGTAGGCATGGGCTCAATGTCTTTAGTGGGATGAACGATTCACTGCACAACTTTATTTTCATATTTATAAGGCATATGAAGAAAAAGTTATAAAATACTTACATTAAGGTCATACTGCCTACTGCCATAAAAGATAGCTACATGGTGGGGGCTTTATGGAGCTCCTCAACTACCAGACATTTACAGAGGCAGGGATGGAACCCTCTTGTCAGCACTCAGTACAATGAATAACATCTATGACAGAAAGGATATTGATAAAGTAATTACAATATTTGTTTAGCACCTGGCTGTGTGCTAGCACTTTGCAAGATGCTGATAATACAATAATGAAAACTCATTCCCTGTCCTCGTCATTGAGGTTAACTTTGGCAGTCAAGTCAACAATGATTTCAACATAGCATGATGAATGCTGAGAGCAGTCATCTCAGCTTGCGGTAGAAGAAATAAACCTGGTCACCTGATCTGGAGGGGAGCAGAGCAAAGAGAGGGAAGTCAGGAAAATTGAACCAGGATTATCGATGTGGGGAAAGATGAGTATGAAGTGCCTAATGGAAAGCGTGATAGGGGAAAGGGACAGAATGATATTCTCAAGAAAGAGGCAAAGATGTACAAAGATATGGAGGTCAAAGAAAAGCAGTACTATAGCACAAGCCAGGAGTACAGGGTAGTTCAGTGATCCCAGGCTGCATGTGCAAAGTGAAGAACAACAGAAACTAAACCTGGAGAGGCAGGAGCCAGGTCATGAATCTCCTTTGGTGCTAACTTGAGAGTCTGGTTTATATCATGTAGGCAATGGAGAACTGCTGAAGGATTGGGAGAGGGAAAATGGGATGACTCTGAGTCACCCAGGGGCCAAAAAAAAAACCTGTTTGATGCTCAGTGCCCCATCACCCCATCACTTTCTTCACAATTGCTCAGTGGGTTCTGGTGGGAAAAACTAAATAATGTCTATACCATTACCTTCTTTCCTTCATCAGGCAAAACTCTGTTCCTTTGGTTCTAATATTAGCAGATGATTTTGTGGTGTGAACATAATTATACAACCTCAGAATCCTGTTGGATCTCATCATACCAGCATTTGGTGAGGGCATCTCTCAGCTGGGTATCTCAGTTGTTTCTTTTTAATTATTCTTTTTCTAGGCTCCACAACCTGCTGTACCAACTCCTGGAAAGAAGAAAACACAGTATGAAGAACCACAAGCTCCACCACCAGGCATGTATGAAATCGGCTGCTGAAGGATCAATGCTACGAGCTGGCACTTTAAGAGATAATGACTGCCCTCCATATTACTTTCAGCCTCCCTTCACCTACAGCTCCTGCATTTATTAGTGCATAGTCATAGTTTGAAATTATGAATGAAATGTTGATGGAAATAATGGAGAACACATCTTAACTGGGCAATGGTTTTTTCTATATTTTACAGTGACTTCAGTCATCACAACTGAAGTAGACATGAGATACTATAATGATTTGCTGAATCCGATTCCAGAGGAATTCATTTCTGTGCCCCTGATACTGCATTGTATGCTAGAACAGGTGGGGATACTCTGAGGCATTTTATCAGGTTGTATACTTGAGTAAATTATTTCATCTTTCCCGGCTTCTGGTTTTTTTTACACTATTTTAAAATTATAATACCTAAATGCATTCACCTTTATAAAGATTAGAATATTTCAGATGAAACTAAAGTCTGCTTAAATCCTCAGCTTCAATTCTCTTTTCTTTTGCTATTCTTTGGAGCCATTTATGTAACATTCCCTGAAGTTTTGATAGAACATATCCTCAGTACTCTGTGTCTGGTGTCATTTTAATGGAAGAGGAAGAGGAAGAGGACATGGACAAGTGGGTGGGGTGGTTAATAGTCGTTATCTTTAAAATTTCTTTCATGCTTGTAGATTTAACTAGATTTTTATATTTCTGAGGCCAATTTTTGTTGTCAGCTTTTTTCTTAATGAATATGTCTTAATAAATACTTTACTGGAGTTTTAAATATGATACAATGTGCTTTACACTATTCACTTAAATATGTTCTAAAATTTCCTCTGTATCTGGTTATGTACCTTTCCTCATGACTGATGTTATTTATTTGTACCTCCCTTTTCTTGATCATGGTGGTTAAGGGCATAGCTATTGTTTTGGTCTTTTCAAAGAACCAGGATTTTGTTTCATTGATCAACATCTTTTTACTTTTTATTTTATTAATCTCTTCATTAATTTCATCTATGTATTTATATATTTTTATTTAATTATTTTAAGACAAGGTCTCTCTCTATCCCCTAGGCTGGAGTGCAGTAGCACAATCACAGTTCACAATTTCAAACTCATGGGCTCAGTGTTCCTCCCATTTCAGCCTCCTGAGTATCTAGAACAACAGGCATGCACCACCATGCCCAGCACATTTAAAATATTTTTTTTTGTAGAGACAAGGCCTTGCTATGTTGCCCAGTATGGTCTTTAATTTGTGGCCTCAAGCCAACCTCCCACCTAAGCCTCCCAAAGCATTGGGATTACAATCATGAACCACCGTGTCCGGCTCATCTCTGTCATTTCCATCTTTCTACTTTCTTTGGATTTATTTTGTATTTCATTTTAATTCAAAGCCTACTTCATTTATTTTTAGTCTTTTTGCTTTATTTAAGGCTACACATTTCTTTTCGAGTGTTTCTTTGTCTGCATCCTGATGCTTTCAGTGTATTCAATTCTAAATCTTTTAATTTATTTACATGTTTAACCCATGAATTATTTTGATTTCCATTATTTACTGATTATTTCTAATTTTTTTTTACATTATGATCAGTAGGCATGTTCTGCAAGTTAGCAAGTTAAAATTTCCTGAGGCTTCCTGTGTGACCTCATGTAACATGGTCATCGTGAATGTTCTATGTGTATCTGAAACAGTTTTTTTATTCATATTAGTAGCACATACATAGCACTTACAGGCACCAGGAACTGTTCTAAATACTTTCAATATGTTAACTCATGTAATCCTCAGAACAATCCTATGAAGCAAGAACTGTTTTTATCCCCCATTGTATTAGTCCGTTTTCACACTGGTATAAAGATACTACCCCAGACTGGGTAATGTGTAAACAAAGGAGGTTTAATTGACTCACAGTTCTGCATGGCTGGAGACACCTCAGGAACCTTACAGTCATAGTGGAAGGCAAAGCAGGCACCTTCTTCTTCTTCACAAGGCAGCAGGAAAAAACTACCACTTTTTTTTTTTTTTTTTTTTTTGAGACAGAGTCTCGCTCTGTCGCCCAGGCTGGAGTGCAGTGGCCGGATCTCAGCTCACTGCAAGCTCCGCCTCCCGGGTTCACGCCATTCTCCTGCCTCAGGCTCCCGAGTAGCTGGGACTACAGGCGCCGCCACCGCGCCCGGCTGGTTTTTTGTATTTTTTAGTAGAGACTGGGTTTCACCGTGTTAGCCAGGATGGTCTCGATCTCCTGACCTCGTGATCCGCCGTCCTGGCCTCCCAAAGTGCTGGAAAACTACCACTTTTAAAACCATCAGGTCTCATGAGAATTTCATCATTATCATAAGAACAGCATGGGGGAAACCACCCCTATGCTCCAATCACCTCCCTCCCTCGACACGTGGGGATTACGATTCGAGATGAGGTTTAGGTGAAGACACGGAGCCAAACCATATCACCCATCTTACAGATAAGGAAACTGAGGCACAAAACGTTTTTCGTTCAAATGCTAAGTAGCAGAAATGACTTAAAACCTAGTGAATCTGCACAGAAAAGTATTTGGATGGGATTTCTGCATTGTCGTCTTCCTTTTAATGTTGCTGCTAAGAAGTCCGATGTCAATCTGATACCTTTTTCTTTGCAGATAATCTTTATTTTTCTTTCTAGCAGTTGTTAGGGTTTTCTCTTTATAATTGATAACACAAGACTATGTCGAGGTATGATTTTATCAAACTTGTCATTATGGTGTAAGGGAATTATAATCTGATTTCCAGTCACATTCTGTGTGCAATAAAAATTCCTTACACTGTCCCATAAAAGTCCTAAAAATAGAGTTCTGAGATGTACCTGTCATCTCACCTCCTGCCCGCCACCACACACACACACACACACACACACACACACACACACACACACAATTTGTCATCTACATAGGCCTCTGGTTTTTCCTCAGATATGTTACTTAATTCCACCTTAACCTTTTACTCTAACTTCTCTACCTAGAAAGCTTTCTGTCTTTCTGGAGGGTCTCCAGTGGAAGTGTCATTCCTTAGAGAGGCCTTCTCTGACCACCTGATCTAAAGAACCCTCTCCCCTACACAACACACAGCACTCTCTACCACGTCGCCTTGTTTTATTTTCTTATCAACAGCTTTTCTTTTTGCAATATATTGATCAGCTATTTTTTCTTACCTTCACCATCCTCCTACTAGAATATAAACTCCACGCAAGCAGTAACAATGTAGTCTTGTTCATTGCTGTGTGCTCAGCACACAATAACCATACCTAACCCATAGTAGACACTAAATACATATTTGTTAAATTGAGAAGATTCTGAGAAAGTCTTCTATCTTCAAGTACCATTTTTACTATCAATTTACCTTAATTATTACTGAATGGATGTTGGAGCTTCAGGGTTTTCCTCTTTATCTTTTAAGTTTTCTTTCAATTTTATGCCTTTGGGAATTCTAGCTTACCTTCCTACTAATGGTTTCTTCAGGGAGTCCAATCTGCTATTGAAGTTTTGTTTTGGCAGTAATGTTTTTAATTTGTAAGTTCTCTAATTTTTTTTTACAATTGCCTATTGTTTTAGTTCATGGATATGACACATTTTTTTCCTGTTAATATGTAAAAGGTTTATTTTGAAGTCCTTTTCAGACTCTATCATCTCTATTACCTCCCATATACATTTTTCTGGTTTTTGACTGCCTTAGTTTTCTAATCAATTAGATAGCTACACTAATATTTGCCTATAATTGCTCCATGAAGTTTTTAGAATACCAATAGTTTTATTATATCAATAAATGCATAAAAGTACAAAAGCCCTATAGAGCTTGCAGTATCATTATTTTATTTATCTTAGCCTTTCTTGTTTTATTCTACTAAACTTAAAGCAACATTTATTAACCATCTACTATGTTCCAGGTACCAAAAGAGACAGTTAATGAGCTCAGTGCCTCACAAATAGAAGTCACTCAGTAGATCCATGTTGAATGAACTAAGGCTTAATAATAATAAAGGGATGAAAAAACTGAAATATATGAATGATGGGATGACATTTTACAGGATGGGATGTTAGAATTGAACATTTCAGAGAAAAAACAGTTTTGAGTCATCTTTTATGATTGAAGTGGGTCCAAGAAATGATCAGAGGATAGAAAGTGGGAACAGTGAGTGACTCTTCTGACAGTAGGGTGTTTCTAGGTAAAGAATAGGATGCAATTTTGTTGTTCTAGAGCAGTAGTTCTCAACAGGAGGTGATTTTGTTCCCAGAGGACATTTGGCTATGTCTGGAGATATTTTTGGTTGTCACATCTGGAAGGGTGCTACTTGCATATAATGGGTAGACACCAGGGACATTGCTAAACATCCTATAGTGCACAGGACAGCCCCTACAACAAGTAATTATCTAGGCCAAAATGTCATTAATGCCAAGGCTGAGGAAACTTGTAAAGGGATATGAAATCATAAGAGGATGATTATAGGATATAGGGTAAAGGGAAAAGCTGTAAATTAGGTGCCTAACTTGATAATGTTTCAAACTCTTTTACTTGTTTACCATGTAAAATTGAACAAGGCGCTTAATCTTTCTGGACCTCACTTTCCCCACATAAAGGAGACACTATTCCATTTGCTGATCTCATAATCTAATAACTGTTCTATTTTTGAAGAAAGAATGAGGATCTGGCCTGAACCCCAGTTTCTCCCACTCAATATCCTTGAGCTTTGGCCAATCACCCTAGTTTTCTCCTCTATACAATGGAAAATAATATCTGCCCCCACAAGATTGCTATGAGGCTTAAATGATCATATGCAAAGATGTGTTACATAGTACCTGGCTTGTGGTAGACACTCAGTAAATATTGAATGAATCCAAAGTTGTATGAGCACTCTTCCCACTGCTTTAACATAAAGAGTAAATATTAAGAAAAAGTATGTTGTTTTTCTATTTGAATAGAATCTTCATGAAATATTTTCATCAAAAGTTTATTGTTTACCATTTTTATGTTATCTATTTTAATACAAATATTAAATTTGTACCTACCTTAATGCATGGATTGCAAACACTTTTCCTTTTATTTGGTGGTCACTGATAGTTTCCCGCCATTTTGTGTCAGCAGTGGTACTTGGGTCGTAGAAATGGACTGGTTCTTACTAAGCAATGGGAATGAAGCAATGAGGAGCGAGTATCACTAAAGAGCGGACCCTTATACCAATTCCTTTCATTGTTGATTTCAACAGGTTGTGGCAACTGAAGAAGATCTTGTCCCACCCAGTCTGCGGGAGCCATCCCCCAGAGCAGACGGGCTAGACCACAGAATCGCAGCTCACATTGTGTCCCTTCTGCCCTCACTCTGTCTCTCAGAGAGGGAGAAAAAGGTCAGATAGTCTGAGATAGCAGAGTCTTCATGCTTTGGAAAAGCGTAGATTCTCTCTTTAAATCAATATTATTTCAATTTGCGTAGAATCTTCAGGAAATATTTTTATCTGAAGAAGAAAATGAAAGCAAAGCAGTGCCCAAAGGCCCCCTCCTACTGAACTATCATGATGCACACGCCCACAAGAAGTACACACTGAAGGTAATGATAATCAGGTTAGCCAAAGAAAACCGATGTGGGAAAGTGTGTGTGTAACTATTCGTTGAAAGAAGCTAATTAGATAACTTCATCAACACTAATTAAAATGTAATGTACAAAATAGATACTTGCGTACAAAGTAGGACCTGGAAAATGAACCTAGATACAGGGAAAAATGATGTCAGCCTAGGAAACTTGTCTGATTATTGAGGTTTAATTAACAATTCAATTAATTGTTACCACCACTAAATGTGCATTAAAACCTTATAATTATTTGCTTTAAATATCTGCTGCTATGAAAAACTAGTAGAAGCCAGAAAAGGATCTCAAAAGAGAGAGAGGAATATATATGAGACTTTGGCAGTTTGTCACTGTGAATGAAGAATCAGTCCTTTTTGTGCGCCAGGAACTCCTGGCAACATAGGAACTAGCTTTTTGACCTTCAGCAAAATCCCAAAAGTTTGTCTTTCCCAATTACCATTGATTTCCTCTGTTCCCAAATAATGAGAGTGAAGGTATCATGTTTAGCCTTTTCCATATGCATAAGGCACTTGACAGCTTACTTTAATGTCTTCTGTCATATTGCTCTTTTTCATCAGGACCAAAAGAATTTTGATCCAGTTCAAATTGAGCAGGAGATGCAGTCCAAGTTGCCACTGTGGGAATTCCTTCAATTCCCTCTACCCCCACCATGGAACAACACTAAACGTCTAGCTATGATTCATGAGCTTATGCACTTTTGTACGAGTGGTAAGTCCATTGTTTTGTCTTAGCTTCAACTCAGTTTAATTAATGGGCATATATGCCTCTTAAAATTACACCCTTATTTACAAAAAGTATTTTCATTATTGAAAGACCTTTCAGAGGCTAAGGTGGGTATTTTGATTGACTACAACTGTCTTGTTTGAATAATGTCATTAGCAGTGTCGTCATAGCTATAATGCATAACACTCTTCAATTTGATACACTGGGTTTTTTTTTCCCCACTGTGTTTTCTTAGCCACAATAATTCCTTTTTTTCCTCGTTTTCCCCCATCTCTGTCCCAAATACTCCCATTGACATCATTGGAGATGATGTGGTAATCCCATCCTACTTACAGAGAAGTAAAGGGGCGTGTGTGCGTGCATACGCGTGCACACATGCATGCACACACGCATGCACGCATATAATTTCCAAGACAATGCTGCCCTTCTGTCTTTTGCCTGACCACTGCACTCTTTTATCATCATTGCAAATCATGTAAAAATTACAGTAACATTGCAGAGACATTATCTGGAAAGAGAGAAGAGCAACCTGGACCATGCAACTTTGCCCCAATTCAGAGATACCTGTCTTTGAATTTTCATCTTATATCCTGTTGCTGCAGCCACCCACAATCAATAAAACACAGGTTCCAGAAGAGTTTTTCTTCTGTCTCTTCCCATTTTGTCCCTTCATGGTTCTTTCTTTTTTTAATTAGAGAAGAGAAGAAAAAAAGAAGAGGATCCAGATAATCTGAATTTGGCAGGAATGTTCACCGGGGTAAAACTAATGTGAGCACTACCGTGGACCATCTCTGCACATGAGGACAGGAAGGAAATAAGAAAGAGAGTGACCTGGGAGGCAGATGTAGATATCTTGTAACCTGTGCTACTAAAAGCTCATATTTGATCCTTTCTTGAGAGAAAATTCTGAGCACACTATTTATAACCACAAATTAAATTTGTATCTAGAAAGATGAATCATAGAACCATAACATTTCCTGACTGAAAGAAATCTTGGAATTAATCTAGTCAAAATCTATTTTCAGATAAGAAAGCTGAGATCCCAGCAGGATTAAATTATTTGTTTTAGGATTATGACAATGGTGGAAAAAACAAGAAAACATTCTGGTCTCTGGATACCCAGTAGAACACAATTTCCTTACCCTACTGAGCAGGAGACAAGAAGAAAGCCACTGCAGAGGTCTGATGGTGCAGTCTGCAGTTTTAAGCACCTGCTCTGTACCTAGGGATACAGAGATGAGTAGAGAGCCCACTGTCAATAGAGAGCATGTTGCTGAGCAGGAGTTGACTCAAGCTAACAGCTTCTCACAGCAGGAAGAGCCATTTTATGCTCTTTGAAGACAGTGGAAAGAGAGGTCATTAAGATATAATATCTAGAAGCACGTCTCATCTGAGTTCACTGGGATTTTGTGAAATAGGCAGTCATTTCTCAAAGTAAATTCTCGTTCCCACTTGAGGGAATATGCAGATACTACTTATAAGAAAAGACATTAACTTCCACAGACATCTTTACTTGACAAGGAAGCATTTAACCTTGAAAAGAAAAGAGTATGTGTATATTCTTCCTTACCATTTCATTTGTAAGCCTAACCAAACTAAAAAGTATTTTTATCTTGATTTCTTCTTTCACTTTTAAGTAGGCTTAGTAATAGAAAAAGCCAGGAACTTCTGAGTCTTGCCATTGACTCATGGACATGCGGGGTACAGCGTCGAGGGACTGATGTGTCATTTCTGTTGTGTACATAACTACCCCCTTCCTGAGTAGGGGGTGAACTTCTGTCCTTTTTCTGTGTCCTGCCACCCTCCCCTTCTCCTTCTGGCTTAAGATGTGATTCCATTCTTAATGAATGGAGAGCTCAGCTCTCCACATGGCACAGGATTTTTGTTCCTGCTGCCACCATTGAAACCTCAAACATATGCTGCTTACATGCCCCATCCTGGACCCTTGGTGCTCCTCCCCTCCTCCTCTTTTCCCTTTTGCCACATCATACTTAACAGGTCCAAAACGAAGCTCTTGATTCCTCATCCCTAAATTTGTCCCTTCACCATCTCCCTTATTTCAATGAATGGCAACTACTTTCTATCAAAAACCTTGGAGCCATTCCTGCTATCTCTGTTTTTGTTTTTGAGACAGAGTCTCACTCTGTCGCCAGGCTGGAGTGCAGTGGCGTGATCTCAGTTCACTACAACCTCCGCCTCCTGGATTCAAGCAATTCTCCTGCCTCAGCCTCCTAAGTAGCTGAGATTACAGGCGCACGCCACCACGCCCAGCTAATTTTTGTATTTTTAGTAGAGATGGGCTTTCACCATGTTGGTCAGGCTGGTCTCAACCTCCTGACCTTGTGATCCACCCACATCGGCTTCCCAAAGTGCTGGGATTACAGGAGTGAGCCACGGCACCCGGCCGCTGTCTCTGTTTTCATACACTCTGCAATCAATCCCACCATACTCCTCACTGCTGTACCAGCCCAGTCCCCCACCACCCCTCACTTGGATTATTCCAATCCAAGTGACAGCTTTTCCAGCTGGTCTACACTTGGATTATTCCAATCCAAGAGACACTGGTCTACACTTGGATTATTCCAATCCAAGAGACAGCTTTTCCAGCTGGTCTACAGGCTTTCAGTGTTTTACCAACAATCTTTTCTCCACACAACCACCTGAATGGCCCCTCTAAAATGTTGGTTGGATGTGCCTTTGTAACTGAAAACTCTGCAGCAGTCACCCACTTTACTCAGAATAAATCCTAAACTGGGCCAGGTGCGTGGCTCATGACTGTAATTTCAGCACTCTAGGAGGGGAGGCCGAGGCGGGTGGATTGCTTGAGCCCAGGAGTTTGAGACCAGCCTGGCAGACATGGCAAAACCCATCTCTACAAAATATACAAAAATTAGCTGGGTGTGCAGGCCCAACTACTTGGGAAGCTGAGGTGGGAGAATCACCTGCACTCCAGCCTGGGTGAACCTGTCTCAAAAAACAAAACAAAACCAAAAAACAACAATAAGAACCTAAACTGTCTGCCACCTACTTTTTGAGCCATCACTTGTCAAGCTGTCATGTTCCATTTTCCTCCATCTACTCTGGCCTCACTGTGATTCCTTGAACATGTCATTCACACCCCTGCCTCAGGATCGTTGCTCTTGCTGTTTGCCCTTCCTCAGTCACTTTCCCCCAGATATCCATACAGCTTGCTCCCCTACTTCCTTCATGTTTTTGCTTAATTGTTCAGAGGATTTTTCCATGACTGCTTTATATAAACTACAAGCTGCTCCCTGACTATTATCACTTTTTGTCCCCTCAGCTGGCTTTATTCTTTTTGTCCTCTCTTTTATCTTTTACATTTATCTCTTCCCAACCCCTAGAACAGATATTCCGTGAGAGCAGGGGGCTCACTATTTTGTTCACCACTGTGTTCCTAGCTTTTATTATAGTTATGATGCCTAATAGGGGCTCAAAAAAATATTTGAGAAATGAGCAAATGAGCAAACTCTCCTTCGTTCTGTAACTATTTTACCTCTTCCTTGTCTCTCTTCTGAATCTCCCTGTTTTTTCCCAAAGGACCTGCTGCTTTTCTTATCTTTGCTGGAGAGAAAATGGAGGTTACTTCTGAATTATTGATCCACATCATTTCATTTTTTTCTGATTGGATTCCATGTTTATTTGTTAATTCTACTTCTCCTTCCTCTACCTTGGAACTTCTAAAGTGTAAGAACCAAATCTTGATTCTTTCAAATCCCAGGCACCTATGACAAAGCCTAATACATAGAAAATAATAACCAATGAAAGAGTGAGCAAGTGAATAAATGCTGTAAAAGGGTAAATACACAATTATAAAGTCTGCTGAAAGCTGATAAACTTTGAAGTGCAATTATGGAAAATACTGCAGCCGTTTGGAAACCTTTCCTGAGCCCAAATGAACAGAAAAACTCAGTCAATATAACAGTCTGTATTAGGCAAAAGTAAATAATTTCTCTGTTTTAAATTACTACAGGAGAAAGGGGTGCTTTCACTCAAAAATAATAAGTTGTATAAGCATATTCAACCTATATGGTACCCTGGAAAGTCCGTGCAAATGAATCTGGACAGCTAATATTGATTAAGCTATGAAGCAGTTTGGGAGCATTATAATTTGCTAAATTGTATCTTTATTGTGTTGTTTGCTTATCCTCAGGTACCTTTGCTATTTGCTGCAGGCTGGGGAGCCAGTGTTTAAAATCAGCTCAACAGCCATTGTGGCGTGACTCCCTTGTCTTTCTGGTAGACAAACTCCCTGGTTGTCCCTCTGTCAAGCCTGTACCATGTGCTAATAAGAACATTTCCAGCAGCATGGGTTCTGCTTTCTTACAGATGTCTTGAGCTGGAATGAAGTAGAACGAGCCTTCAAGGTGTTTACTTTTGAGAGCCTGAAGCTCTCTGAGGTTGATGAAAATGGGAAACTAAAGCCTTCTGGGATGATGTGTGGGTCAGATTCTGAAATGTTTAACATACCATGGGACAACCCTGCCAGATTTGCTAAACAGATAAGGCATCAATATGTCATGAAAATGAACAATCAAGAGGACAAGCAGAAAGCAGGTACACTGCATGGAGGAAATGGAAAGCATTCTTGTATTTTATTATTGTCAGTTTTTCTCGTATTGTATCTCATGGATGTTCCTTACACTGAATAGATATTAAAATCAAAGACAGAACAATATTTTTGGATCAGAATTTGTCAACGTCTGTGCAAGATAATGAGAGCAACCAAGAACCTTCAGATCCTAGTCAGTGTGATGCTAACAATATGAAGCATTCTGACTTGAATAATCCCGGACTCTCAGTCCCTGATAATAGACAGCTGTTAGAGCAGGAGAGCATCATGAAGACTCAACCCCAACATGAGTCTCTGGGTAAGTTAAAGTGTGTGTGTGTGTGTGTGTGTGTGTGTGTGTAAGACACTATTATAGTACACATAAATCAAAAAGTGTTCAAGATGCATTATTTGAATTTAAGTTATTTGGTTAATTAAACTTTCTTACTGAGTATTGTTATTCCATAAGTTCTCTTCATTTCAACCCTGTTTTTAAAAATATCTTAATTCCTATTAGTCCACACTCACCTTAGTAAATTTAGCACAGTGAACAGCATTACAACTTTCATCATTAGTGTTACACAGTTATTGTGATTGTGTGCTAAAATTATAAACATTCATCTGCAAAACAGAATGAAATGTCCAGTACAAAATCAATGGTACAAAATCAATGCTCAATGAACATCATTTCCCCTCCTCTCCCATGTATGGCTCAGGCCATTACTCTCATTGTAGACTAGCATTATAAACAGTGCTATATTAGGAGGTGTGAAAGTATAGAAGGATGTTGGGCTAAATTTATACTGAGCTACCTTACACATCACTGTCAGATTAATCTGTGTAAAATCTAGCAATTTTGTTTCTCTACTTACAACTTTCAAAGGCTCCCTACTATCTGCAAAATAGAACCCAACTCCTTGGCCTACTTCTCTAGTAGTATCAAATTACTTTTCCTAAAACCTTTTTCCATCTTTCTGCTGTTGCTCACACACTCTGTATTCTAGCCCAACAGAATTAGGCCTATTTACTCTGCACAGCCTGCTCTTTTCAATCTCTGTGGTACCTTTCCCTCACAATATATCCTCCACCTTGAGTTCTCTTTTTGACTATGATTAGGATTCAGTGGCACCTCCATGAAGTCTTATTGGATGTGTCCATATGGAAATGCCTCTCTTAGCATTCCATGGTCATAATTAATCTACACTTCTGGTGAAGTGCTGTGGCTCACTCTTATAAACCTAGCACTTTGGGAGGCCAAGGCAGGAGGATTGCTTGAGGCCAGGAGTTCAAGACCAGCCTGGGTAACATAGCAAGATCTCACCTCTATAAAGAAAAATAATAATAATAAAAAAAAATCTACACTCTCTTTATGGCATTAGTTGTCCTTTTTTCAGTTTTATAATTATGTATATGCCTATATTAAGGCCTCCATTATACCGTAGTGTCTTAATGATTATATGTTTATTTTAACATATTAACACCTAAATTTAACACCTAGGTCAAACATATTAAAGAACACCAAATTTAACATATTAACACCAAATTTAACACCTAGGTCAAAGAAAAAATTACAATAGAAATTGGGAAATATTTCAAACCAAATGATAATGAAAAAACTGAGTATCAAAACTATAGAATGCAGCAGCTGATGCAAGAGGTAGTCCAAAAGATGTTTACAGCTTTAAATAAATATTTTTCGAAAAGAAGCTAAAGATTAATTAACTAAACATCAACCTCAAGTTAGATAAAGACAAACAAAATAAATCAAAGTAAAATAGAAGGAAAACAACAAAAATATTAAATCAGGGAAATAGAAAACAGATGAAAATTACGTCAATTAAATAGAAAACATAGAAACATAGGAAGAACAAAACTGCAAAACTTGGTTCTTTGAATAGACTAGCAATATTGATAAAAGGTTAATCATAAAAAAGAACCCATGAATAACTCTATCAGGAATAAAACTATATCAGGAATAAGAATTATATAAGGAATAAAGAAACAGAGACTTCCCTCAGATTCTACAGAAATTTAAAAGATTGCAAGATAATATAAACAACTTTGACTAAATATGAAAATAAAATGGGCTATTACTGGGAAAGAATAACTTACCAATAATGACCCAAGAAGAAATAGAATGCCTGAGTAGTCTCATATCCAGTTAATTATATCAGTAATCAAAAATCTTCCCAAATAGGGCACACTTAGCTCGAATGATCTCATTGGTAACTGATACCAAACACTAAAAAAGAAATAATTCTAATCTTAACAAAAATTATTCCAGGAAATAGAAAAGTAGCATAATGTCCTCTCTTCATTTTATGAAGCTAGCATAAACTTTATAAGAATACGGACAAGGATAGTGGTATAACTGAAAGTTAAACTACTTCATTAAATTAAACTGATTCACAAATATAGATACAAAAATTCTAAATGAAACATGAGCAAATTGATCTAACATATACTAAATAGTAATATATCACAAACAGGTTGCATTTATAACATGGACAGAAGGAAAATATATATATTGTAGAATCAATATAACTTATCAATTAACACATTAGTGAGAAAAGTCATATAATCATCTCAAAAGAGCAGAAACAGCATGTATAATTCTGTAGCAATTTATGAAACAAATCTTATTAAACTAGCAAGAAAAGAAACATTCCTCAATCATATAAACATTATTTTTTATATTACTATGACAAATCTTATATATCAAGATGAAAAGTTGAAGTAATTCCCTTTAAGATCAGGAGAATGTCCACTATAAACACTTGTATTCAATATTGCATCAGAGGTGTATGCCAACAAGCAAGACTTTTTCTCTTTTAGATAAAAGCATAAGGTTTGAAAAGGAAAAAATAAAACCATCATTATTTGTAAATACTGTGTATGTAGAAAACTCAAAGCAATACACAAAAAAAATAGAATTAATATGAAAGTTTAATAAGGAGGCTGTACTTGTTAAATGATACACATAAGATGTCTGGAGTGCTGAGACTTTACTGTTATAATTATTCCTTGTATTAAACATTTGTGTTTCATGCACTTTTCTTTGTGTGTTATATTTCATAATTTTAAAAGCATTTAAAAAAAAGTGGTTATGGGCCAAAATTGGATAAAAAAAGTAAAAATAAATTTTAAAAAGTGATAACATGAGAGAATAAGTGTTAAGTTATTATTGACTAATGGTCATCTTACCCTTTTCATTTATCTAGAGGTGGGTCGAAAAGGAAGTAATCAATGGAATAGAATTGGTAGAGGAGGGAATTGGGGTGAATGGAAGAGGGAAGAAAATAACGTTTATTTAATATTGCTCTGCTACATCTCAAGTACATTAACTAATACTTACATAAACATCAGCCTATGACAAAGATGCTATTATCCCAATTCTACAGATGAGGAAACCAAGACTTAGAAAGGTTAAATAATTTGTTCAACTACATACAAGTAGAAAGTCAGGATTGAACAGAGTGCTAACTTCGAACCAGTGCTTCCTCCACTGTGTCTTGCAGCTTCCTGGGTTCCAGAAATTTCTGGTGATGCAGCTAATGATTTAGCCATGCTCCTACTCTCATTCATGCTGATTTTTATGCTGATTTTGTTGCCTTTGGGTTTTCCTTCTTTCTAACCAGGGTGGATTCCCTATTTCTTTGTCCTAAGTACCATTACCTATTAGCCTACCTCTCAAAAAATGTAAGCCAATAAGTTAACCTGAGTTCTAATGGCAATAGTGTATCCTATGGGACTACAAATGAATGACAGGGAAGTCACTCTGGGTTAATATAGAGTCAGAATAAGCCAGGAGAGGTGTAAGGCCCAAGGTGTTTTCTTTGTTTTGTTTCATTTTTTTTCTTTAAAGCAGCTGGATAGTTTTCCTCAGGCAACTTTTGCCACCTGGTGGTCAAACTACATAAATTGATGTGCTGGACTCTGGAAGAAAGTAGATTCTTATATTAATAGTAACTTCCTAAATTCTCAGGGGTTGAAAATGCTATAGCGGACAGTGTATCCTAGAGGCCACGCAATCTGGAGGGTGGATCTCAGGGCCATACATGTTTCTCCGCTGTGCATTTTGACCTACTTCCAGGAGCCATTCCATTTGAAAGCGGGAGGGCATCTGGGCTTGGTGTCGCACTGTAGCTGTTGTGACTATGGGACTTTGTTGTTGTTGATTTTACATTTCTTTCCCTAACTCTGAATCATACTTACTTCAAAGCGGCCAACTTTAATTCTCTTTAAACAAGGCAAAAATCATTCATGTATTTCCTGCACAACCATTTTAGCATCAAATACATATAAAAGCCTGTTCCTGGACATAAAGGGCTGGATATTTGTGCTTTTCTTAACCAAATACTGGATTTCCATCTGAGACTATTTTTGAACTTGACAGGGCCTAGTGGATATTTATGAAAAACCTGAGAGTTGATAACCGCGAGTCTATAGGTTTAGATGTGCCCTTTATGCTTGTTGGGTGTTTTTTTAATAAAGTAACTGCTTTGCAGAGGGATCTTGTTATCTCTAAAGTAAAACAGATTAGGAAAGCTGTTTTTCAAAGGGATGAGAAAGCATCCATTTCCAGATGTGTCAAAAACTACTGAATCACACTGTCAAAGGATTATGTGGTTGAAAGCAAAAATCAGAAAAAGAAAAAAAAAGATTTTTACTCTACTATTAAATAAATAATTCAGATTACTTTTAGAATGTTCTTTCCTTTGATAAAATAACTGATGCATAATTTTTAGAACAGATTTTCTAAACTGGAGACTTTTTCTGCTGGATCCAATAGGAGGGAATATCAAATCTCCCGGAAATCTGGCAGACCACAGAATAGAATAATTTTTATCCACAGATTTCATATCAGTTGCTTCAAGGACACATGGGACATCATGGTCTATTTAGAGTTATAGTTGGCTTGAGTTTTCTCTTCAGTGGATGTGTTTATATAAATGCTGAACTGAATTGGCTGTATGGTTTTCCCCTAAATCAAAATGGAACGTTCACGTTGTCACCTTCACCAGGCAAAGGCAAGATGGAACTAGTAGCAAAAATGTAAGTAGCTGTGCTCCTGAAAGAAAGAACAACACTGACCTGTCCTTCATAGGCACAATCAACTTCTCCCTCTAGAAGCCCAAATATGGTACTCTTTGCCGCATAATAAAATGTTGTCTTATGCTTGCCACAGAATAAGACTTTGTTGTAGGTTTTTTTCCACACTTCTAATTTCTCTATATGGCTTTAGGTTCATTTCCACCTTTGATACATGATGTAGATTCCTCTCATTCAATCAAAAGGAAATATTTACTGAGTTCCTGCCAGGTGCTGGGTGCTCAGGGTACAGTAAAAAAATAATAATAATAATAAGATGAAGTTTCTATTCTCCAGGAATTTACATATGAGGTGGAGAGACAGACCATAAACAAGTAAGTAGCATTAGGCATAGGTACATGCTATGATTAAAAAAAAAAAAAAAAAGCAGAAGATGAGGCAGAAGGCTCCTGACAAGGTGATACTCGAGCAATATGAATGAAGTCAGGATCTGAAAAAGGTAAACATCTAAGGCCAAAGCATGCCAGAGGGAAAGCAAGTGCAAGACCCTGAAGGCACAGCAAGCAGGCCAGTGTATCTGTAGTAGAATAAGCAAGGGAGTCAAAGAGTTGTGCTTGAAGAGTTTGGCCAGGGCCATTTCCTGTACAACTTTGTCAGACATAATCTTCATTTATTCTAAGGGTGATAAGAAGTCAGGGCTGTTCAGTTGTTCAGCAACATCAAAGTATATTCCCACAGATTCCACCTCCTACACACACATACTCTTTCTGTGATCAAAAAAATGCTATATACATTATCCATTTCTCGATTAGAGATTCACAATAACAAGAGCAAATTTCAAATTCTAAGACATTCATAGTGAGATGTTCATGAATCTATGCTAAACTTATTTATCATGGAACTCTTCCTTCTGGTGATGCAGAAATCAACAATATGAATGTATTCCTTCCTTGTTCATGCACATGGCTGTTTGCTTCATAGCCAAGGATGATACCGCCATCCCAGTCGTCATATAAGCGTACTCTGTGGTCACAAGGAAAGCTAGTGTGCATGACTCATATTGGTCCATAGTGTGCATGACTTGTATTGGTCCATGGAGTCCAGCTACTACTTCATTTATTTATTTAACTTTTGTTAAGCTTCATGTGTAAATTAGCAGATGCTCATTAAATCATTTTTAAATTAATAAATGATTAATGAATGGAAGGGAAACTCTGCAGAATGGTGAAAGCGTATCATTTTCCAATAGGAAGTGCATTTATCTGCCAGTGCCTCTTTGCACGCATGGCCTGCCCCCACCCTAGTCTGTCATCCACAAGATCCACGGAAATTTAGAAAGGCTTTGTGATAGTCACCAGCACAAGAAGACAAATCATGTGTACTAAGAAGTTGATTTCATCAGTAAATATTTACAACTTTTAAAGGTAAAGATAATATTGTTAGAAGTGAAGGATACAGTCTGAAAGCAGAATATCTGGTATGATTTAAGATAGATCACACAAGAAGCTAGGTTCTTTTCAAAGAGCTTAGTATAGTTTTTCTAGGTAGGCACAGATTTAGAATTATGGACACAAACACCTTTCTGGAGGCACAAAACATGCCTTTCAGGCATTGCCTTTTCAGCACAGAAACATAGATCATATGGGCAACAAAAAGCACAGCATTAACCAGCAGGGCAAGAACAAAACCAGAATACAACTGGATGTTGGTGTCTTTGATTTGCAGAGCAGACCACAAACAATGAGATCAAAGATGATGCAGTCGCAAAGGCTGATTCTCATGAAAAGGTAAGGAATTGTTTTTCTAAAAATGTAGATGACAGGGTGATCTGAGCAAAACCATGATTTGGAGTGAGAAACACTGAAAAAGGAAAAAGAAGATACTTAGAAGGAGAATACTGAGGTTAGAAAAGAGGAATTATTCGGACATCCCCAGAGCAGCTCTAACTGGAGAGAAAGGAGTTAATTTTGCTAGGCGGCTTGCACATAACTTCCCAGCTCCATGCTCCTCTCTAGACAGTGTGGCTTGGCAACCTCACAAACACCTGCTCACCATACAGCCATGTAGAGCTAACGTTGTCTTGAAGAGAGTTCAGAAAACCTGCCTGTAATTGCTAACAGGACTCAGAAGAGTATAACCTAACAATAAAAATATTTAGATTATGTTGCCCATAAAAAAAAAAAAGTCAAAGCCATACTCTTTTTGGCAGCAGCTCTCCTAAAATGTTGCCATATGGATTTATACATATGCAGATTTCCCCAATTAGATGGAGTACATGCTGGTTAGTTGACGGAGCCCAAGAGGGCTCCATTTGGACTTAAACAAATTAAAGCTGAAATTGTGTTCCTATGATATTTTAGAAATCCAAGAAGATGATGGTGGAAGCAGATTTAGAGGACATAAAGAAAACACAGCAGCGCAGTCTAATGGACTGGAGTTTTACTGAACATTTTAAACCGAAAGTACTGCTTCAGGTATTTATGGACTGCGATTCTCTAGGAGACGGTCAGATAGGTCTGGAGAGTCTGCTGTGATTTAGAACAGTTCACCTCCAGGTCATTCTCTCAAATCTAGTTCAGATCAATATTCTCCTTTACTTCAGCTATAAAATAAATTTACTTCCAGCTTGAGCTATGCATTCCCAGGGACTCTCTAAAATAGTATAAAATACACTTTACGAAAGAATGCTTTTATAAAATATTTTAAGAAAAGAAATATACAAGACTGCTGCATATATATTTATATATATATACACACATATATATACACTTTTTTTGCTGCTGAATATATTTTCTTAAAAAAAAGTAAGGTTTTATTGGGAAAAACCCTGTTTTTTTTTCCATATTGTTTATCCATTCTACTCAGTTTCACTACATTTCACGGTATTTTCTGTTTTGATTAACAGTTCAATGGAATCTGTGATAGCTAACATTCATTGAGCACTTACCATGTGCCAGGCACTGATTAATATGTATTATTAGCGCATTTAACCCTCACAATAACCCTATGAAGTAGGAACTATGTAAGCAGTAAGAAACTGAGGCACCTTGACCAGTAGTGACTTTTGTCCAAGGTAACGTGGCAGCTAAGTGAGAAGCAAGATATAAATCCAGGAAATCTGGTCCTGGAACTTGTATTCTTAACCACTCTGCAAAATAACAAGTAATCCCAAACCTAAATCCTTTTGCTGTTTTTAGCTTTTACACAAAAACCTGTCCTCTTTTGGTTTTGTCTTTTTAATTTGATTTTTATTTTTGTCAAAGTTTTACCACATGTTTTTTAAGCCAGAAAGTTCTACAAAGTCTTATTATGAAAAACAGCCTCCTTCCCCTATACCCACCCCACTCCACCAAGCCTCAATTCTCAGAGGCAAAAATCTTCAGCACATTTACCCCTTTCTTTTGTTACTTTACTCAGTGATCTCTAAATAGCAAGTATATTTTGTTTAGTTTTAGTTTTGTGACATCATTATCAATCGATTCCCTCTTGAGAACACAGCTTTGCCCACCCCCATCCAACACATACCTGCATGTACAGGTACAGGCTCACCCACCCACGCATTCATATTAGCACTTCTCCTTTCTCTGATACTGTTAACAATATCATAAGTTTTGATTAGATCAGTATTCAAAACTCACTTTATTTCAGTTATGTAAGTGCTATTCACAGCTGAACTGTGTAGTATTCTGTAATTATATTTCCTTTATCGGTAGCATTTTTTTCCCTCTGCAGTTAATAATTGCCTCTTTTTCTATTTGTTTAGTTTACTATGTATTTATTATTAACTCATCCCCAAATTCTCTACTACTGAGTAAGTCTCTCAATACATTCAAACATAACAGATATTCTGTTATTCTAACTTTAGATAGCCTAACAGTTTTATTGTATTAGTGCTATCTCTCCCATATTCCCTAAACTTGCTGCATAGCTGTGGTCCTGGGCCTCCATTTACCATCATCTGGGCCATACCCATTCCCTTCCTTTCCAGTTAGATGCCTGTTTCCTTCATCCCATGTGTTCCCTCTCCGGTTACACTTTTTTTGTGTGTGTGTGTGTGGAGGATCATCTCTTCCAGTAGCTTCCTTAATTAAGATAGACGGGATGTAAATTTTTGAGTCATTCAATATTTGAAAACAGCTTAATTCTATCTTTATATTGACTGGCAGTCAGGCTTTGCAGTAAATGCTAAATTAAAAAGCATTTTTTCTCAAGACTTTAAAGACATTCTTTGACAGTGTTCTGACTTCCCAGATTGTCCTTAGAAAAATAAATAAATAAATACAATTCTGATTCCTAATCAGTTGTTTGAGTGTGTTTTGATCCTCTCTCTGGAAGATTTTAAGATCTTCTGTTTGTTCCAATGCTCTTGATTTCCTGTTGATATGCCTTAGTGTGGTTCTGTTTCTATGTATTGTTCTGGCAAGCCAGTGCAATCCAGAAATTCCTGTATTTATATTTTGGGAAATTTTCTATAATCATTTCTTCAATAATCTCTCCTCTCCATTTTCTCTGTCCGTTTTTTTCTGGAAATCTTATTACTCTGGTGTTGGACCTCCTAGACTGAACTCGCAATTTCCCTTTCTTTTTTCTTTTAGTTTCCATCAATTTATCTTTTGGCTTTGCTCAATTTCCATTCAGGTCTTATATTGAGCCTTTTATTCCTGTTATTAGTTATTAGCATTCTAATTCCTAAAGTTATATTTATAATTCCAAATTACCTTTTTAAAGGATCGTTTCACTTCTTTTTTTTTTTTTTTTTTTTTTGAGATGGTGTCTTGCTCTGTCGCCCAGCCTGGAGTGGCACAATCTTGGCTCAGTGCAACCTCCGCCTTCCAGGTTCAAGTGCTTCTCCTGTCTCAACCTTCCAAGTAGCTGGGATTGTAGGCACTTGCCACCACACCTGGCTGATTTTTGTATTTTTAGTAGAGTTGGGGTTTCACCATGTTGGCCAGGCTGGTCTTGAACTCCTGACCTCAGGTGATCCACCCACCTTGGCCTCCCAAAGTGCTGGCATTACAGGCATGAGCCATTGCATTTCTGATATAATACATTCTCTTATCTCTATGAGGATATTAAAGTCCTCTGAAGTTGTCTTCTCCGTGAATTATCTCTTTTTCCTCCAAGTTTCTTTTCTCTTTTTTTGTCTTTTTTGTTTGGTCTTCATTTTTCATGTTAGAGGGTAATATATAATATTGTCCTCTTTGCTCATATTAATAATGAAACAATAAAAATATGATAGGAAGTGCTATATGAGGTGGGGTGGGAAGCTGTCAATAAGTGAGTTCATTGTTGGGTGATTTGGCTGGGAGATTTCTGTAGGAGACTCACCATCGTTGGTATGTGAGGTCTGTTTTCTTGGGCCATTTAAATTCTCCATGAAAAAAGAAAGTCTAATTTTCTGTCTGAAAGACATAAGCCTTCCTGTCAGTGTTTTGAAAGCTAGGTAATGCGGGAAGGGTATTAAGCTTCTGACATTTATTATCTAGATCTGCATTATCCAATGTGGTAGCCACTAGTCACATGTAACATCTGAGTACTTGAAATGAATCTAGTCCAAACCGAGATGTGCAATAACTGTGCTGTACACTATATAAGTGCTATACACACTCAATTTCCAAGACTTTAAAAAGGTGGCATTAATTACTTTTGCACTGTTTATATGTTGAAATTATAATTTTATCTGTCAGATTAAATAAAATATATCATTAACATTTATTTGACTTGTTTCTTTTTACTTTTTAAAATGTGGCTACTGTAAAATTTAGAATTGCACATGTGGCTCACATTTGTGGCTCATTTTATATTTCTATTGAGCGGTGCTGATTTAGGCTTTTTCACAATTCCCTTTTTTTCTGGCATGTACTTCTCTGTCGGTGTGTCTTGGTTCCACTGTTCTTAGAACCCATTGGTCTAACATCCGTAGTTACCCTCTTCCCCTCTGCTGGAGTGGGAGATAGGCAATAGCCTAGTTGCTCAGAATTTTAATGGGATCCAGGGGCCTAACGGCTTCTTAAAAAGACTTTAAACTAATCTTCCTATTTTCAGTGCCACTTTCACCCCATTTGCAGAGTTGACTAGTATTTCCATATCCTGAGACTTTCTATATTTCTGCACACAAATGGGGTTGCCTCTGGTCTCTCCTAAAATTAATCTCAAGACTTGGCTTTCTGCATTCTGCTAAGTCAGTTAGCCCTTATCCTTTTGCTTTCCAGTTTCTAAAATTCTGGTGCCTTTGTCTCCTCTCCTTCAACAAGTTGAAGTTGGCCTTTAACTTTATGACATTAAAAAAACAAACAAAATTTTACTGTTTTAATGAGGTGTTAGGGAGTGCAAATGCTCAACCTTCTCCCTGTAACCGAAAGTTTATTTCAGACTTTATTCTATTTCAGTTTTTCTCTGTCCTTACCGCTCGATGAAACTGCACTTTTCAAGGTAATCAATAATCTTTGTTTTGCTAAATCTAATAGACACTTATCTTTCTTCATCTTCCCTGACCTTTTAACAGCATTGCAGAGCTTATCACCTCCCCCATGAAACACTCTGCACTCTTGGTTTCCTCAGTGTTGTATCTGGAATTTTGTTGACTTCTCCTCCTTTACCCAGCATCTAATATGGAAGTGCCTCAAGGCTCTGGAGCCTCCAGGAAGCCCTAGAGCATCTTCTCGCCTCTGTGAACACCCTCCTTTGATGATCTCATCTGTTATATACTATCTAATGCTGACAGATGCCTAAGTTTTTGTCTTTTAAATTACCTCCCTCTAGAGATTCACATTATTATACCTTACTCAAAATTCTACCTGACTTTCTGATCAAATTTAGTATCCATCTCAAATTTAGTATCCCACATGACACTCATATTTTTCCCACCTAAGCATTTCTTCCTTTGTCCATATCAGAAAAGGTCACCATCATTCAAGTGCTCAAGCAAAAAGCCAGAATCATCCTTTGTTCCAACCTTTCCTTTGTCCCTGATACCTAATCCATCATCAATGTTTAAGGGGTACACCTCCAAATATATCTTCAAGCTCTTCTGCAACACAGCTACCACTACCTTTTTTTTTTTTTTTTTTTGAGACAGAGTCTCGCTCTGCCGCTCAGGCTGGAGTGCAGTGGTGTGATCTCAGCTCACTGCAACCTCCGCCTCCCGGGTTCAAGCGATTATCCTGCCTCAGCCTCCTGAGTAGCTGGGACTACAGGTACATGCCACCACGTCCGGCTAATTTTTGTATTTTTAGTAGAGACAGGATTTCACCATGTTGGCAAGGATGGTCTCAATCTCCTGACCCCGTGATTCACCCTCCTTGGCCTCTCAAAGTGCTGGGATTACAGGTGTGAGCCACCACGCCCAGCCTACTTTTATATGACTGCCTCCCTCTCATTCCACCACAATATCCTCCTGATTACCTGCTTCCACTCTTGCCCTGCTCTAATCCATTCTCCATATATAAGATATTCCATTAATTTCATCTTTTTGGACACACCTCTTTCAAAATAATCTATAAAGCCACAGGTCTGTAGTCCCAACTATTCAGGAGGCTGAGACAGGAGGATCACTTGAGGCTAGGCTTTAGGGGCCAGCCTGGGCAACATAGCAAGGTCCCATCTCTAATTAACAACAAAAAAGATCTTAATCATATTTTAGAGAAAAATCTTATCTATTTTGTTTATTTTTGTTTTCCTAGTACCTGCACAGTGCCTGCCACACAATAGTACTCATTTTTAATGAAAAACTTAACTAAATAAACTAATGTAACCAATAATATTAATACAGAATAAAAAACAAGCACAAATTAGTAAAAAAGGAGAAAATAAGATATGAAAACTTTACATATTGATTGAGAGCAGCTATAGTTCTGAGAAACTTACTGCTATATTTTTAGCACCCCAAAGCAAATATGAAAACTCAAAGATTTCAAAGCTCTTACTATCTAAAAGAAGGAAGGATAGATATTCATCATAAATGCAATGCTTTTCTGGGTTTATAGTCTGAGCAGAATTTGCTTTTCAAAAAAACATCAATAAGTACTAGATGATACCCTACATAGCAATATTTTAAAATGCAAAGATATTCACCACATGTATGTTTCTTATGTTGGCTCTGAGGGAACAGATGTAAAAGTGCCACTCCATAAAGATACTCATTCAGGGGACTAAACTGGGGGAAGCAAATGTATTGTTTTGATTATGCTACCAATGCAGAATTGAAAGCAAAATTAAAGCAGCCCTTTTCTAACATATTATTCCGTGCCTTCAGATCATGCAAACAATAGAAAACCAAAAGCTGCCTCAGCAAATTGATACTGAAAATGAAAACAAAAGCTCACAGCTGTCTAATTTGTTTTTCCTATCGACAAGTTTCCTTATTGTTGATTGGCAAAGGAAACAGGATAAGCAGCTGCCCACGGTGCCTCTCTATTGGTGGCTGCCACTGCAGTGCATGCTGAGGATGGTATTTTTAGAAAGGGCCAGAGGTGGAAGGCAGGTAGAAATGGTATGTGTCAGAAAGACCACTCACTTCACTTCATCTAACACGGCGTGGTATAGTGGAGAGAATGCAACATGGTAAAATTGAGAGTTGGAAAACAGGGATGAGCCTTGGCACCATAACACACAGTGTTCTTAGACAAGTCCCTTATTCTCTCTTAGCCCCAATTTATGCTGAAAAAATGAGAATTCTAATTTTGATATGGGAAAAATAATCATAATAATTTTAGTCCGCTTGGGCTGCCATGCCAAAATGCCATGCCTGAGTGGCGTGAACAACAGAATTTTCTCACAGTTTTGGAGGCTGCAAGTCTGAGGTCTGGGTGCTGGAATAGTTGGGTTTGTTGAGCGCTCCCTTCCTGGCTTGTGCCTTTGCATTATGTCCTCACATGGCAGAGAGTAAGAAGGAGCGGGGATGGAGAAGGGAAAGAGGGAGGGAGAACAAGTTCTCTGCTGCCTCTTCTTATAAGGGCACTAATCTTATCTTCAGGGCCCTAGTCTTATGACCCCATCCAAACCTCATTACCTCCCCACAGCCCCATCTCCAAATACCATCACACTAGCAGTTAAGGCTTCAACATATACATAAGGATGGTGAACACAATTTAATTCATAGCATCTATTTATCTGGAGTTTTTAATGATGATAAAATGAGATGATCTATATCAAGGCATGGAAAATGCTAGATAAATGACTGCTGTGCTTAATTATTACCTACCAACCTTAATGAAGAACACTTGCAGCAAATGCCTCTCTGTCTGATGCCTAGTATTTGTTTTTCTAAAGTGTTGCTGAAATGCTTCCCAAGCCATCTACCATTCATGCTCTCACCTTCTAGTAGCTAGAAAAGAATCCTCTGGGAATTTCAACTTGACTAACAATGCGGAGGTAAATGTAGGAAGAAAAAGGGAGTAGAGAAATGCCCTAGTAGGAGACCTTTCTCTTTGGGAAAATAAAAAAGATTCTACAATGCAATTATTTTTATTTTCAGGTCCTTCAAGAAGCCCATAAGCAATATAGGTGTGTTGATTCTTACTACCACACCCAAGACAACTGTTTACTTTTAGTCTTTCACAATCCAATGAATAGACAACGTTTGCATTGTGAATATTGGAACATTGCTCTTCACTCCAATGTTGGATTCAGGTAACAAATTTAGAAAGTTTCGTTAATTAGTTGGGTTTAGTTAGCTTGCCAATTACTTAGTTACTTAGGTGTTAGTTTCTTAGCCTAAGCTAGGGGGTTCAGCTCGATGAAAACATTTGTGTAGTACTATAGATTCAATTCAGCTCACTAAATTGAATGTCAGCATGTGCTGGGCACTGTATAGGCATTGGAGCTCTACCACTAAAAAAAACAGGTATCATTCTTGCCCTCATGGAATCCAGTGAGGATGTTGTTAAATTACATTTGATTCATTTCAATTCCAGTAAAACTGTCTCCAAAAGATTTCAAGTAGGAACTATAAAACATGACATTCTGCATGTTGGTTTTTTAAACTCTATTTTATCTGGGGAAGATTCAAAAATAGGTCAGCTGAGTAATATACCAACAGAGCAGTCAGGTTTCCAGCAAACTGAGAGCCTAGGAGTCAGTGATTTTTTTTTCTTTCCAGCTCCTTAGTTATTTCCTTGTTGTCTTAAAACTTTGTTCTCTCTTCTCATTAAGTATGATGATATTTCATTGTTATTTCAATACTGGTTAATCTATTTTCAGTATTATTTGTATAGCTTTTTTTTGTTTCAAAGAATACAGAAAGATTTACAGAATGGACTTACATAATAATTGGGGGAATATGCTGTATGTGGGCACACACACATTTTAAAGTCATTTTATGAAAGGAATATGGTAGGTATACTAATATAACACCTTGAACACTTAAGCTGTGTTTGTCATTGTTTTGTTTTTCATTAACAATAATTAAACATTTTATACCTTTGCCGTATTTACTGGCTAGGATCTCCAATTTAATTTTGAGGAGAAATCCTTGTCTTATTCCAAATTTTAAAGGCAATGTTTTGAATATTCAACAATTAAATGGTTTTGGTTTTTTTTTTTTTTTTGGCCCCAAGAATTAAAAAAAAAATCCCTAATAAAGTAAAAAAAAAACTATTTCTAGTGTGCTATGAGTTCTCAGTCATAGATGGCCATTAAGTCATATCAATAAGATGATTTTTTCTGCATCAATTTAGGTGTTTATATTTTTTTCTTTAATCTATGAAAGTACTGATTTCATTAACAGACATTCTAGCGTTGAACCAAACTTGCATTCCTGTAGTAAGCCAAATTTGTCCATTATGTTACCCTCTTTATAATTGCCACATTTGTTTGCTAATATATTGTTTAGAATATGTGTATTCATGTGTATTCATGGGCAAGATTCAGCTATAATTTTTCCTTGCTTTAAATATTCCTATTTGGTTTTGTTATTGAGATTATATTAACCTCATAAATTAACTGGAAAATGTTCTCCCTTTTTATTTCTATTTTTTAATTTTCTGAAATAGTTCATGGAAAATTAAGATATATGTTCCTTTGGCATTTGGTAGAGTTTGCAGATAAAAACATATGGCCCAGGGAAGATGTTTGATTACTGACACGACTTCTATCATGATTATCAGACTCTTCAGGTTTTCGATTTAATTTTAGTTAAGTTTATAATTTATATTTTTCCAGATATTTGACCATTATACCTGTTTTCAAAAGTATTGACATAAAGTTGATTAAAATATTCTCTTACCTTTTAAACGTGTGTTACATGTGTCTATATTCTTTTTTGTTCTTAACATTTTTTAATGTACGATTTCTCTATATTTTTCTGGATCAAACTTGCCAAAGGTTTGCCAGTCTTGCTAATATTTTTAAGAAATCTGTTTTTGCTTTCTGATTCTTTCTCCTTTTATTTTATTTGATTTTGCCATCATCTTGTTTATTTCTCCTCTTTAATTTCCTTGGATTATTCTGATGTTCTTTAACTTCTTAAATTAAAATCTTATCTTGTGATTTCGAGTTGTTTTTTGTTAGTTTTGGTTGACTTTTTGATGATTAGCATTTAAGGCAAAATCTCTCCCTAGCAACACCTCAAAGTATCTGACAGTATTTTTATTATCTTTCATTTCTAATTTCCATTATCCTTGCTTACTTGACCCATTAATTACACAGAAATGTGAGTTTTCGTTTTAAACACTTGGCTATGTGTTACATTTTTGTTAACAATCTATAGTTTTAAGATATAGTGGTCGGGTAACATGTTCTATGGAATACTGAGGCTATGAAATTTGTTGATACTTGCTCTGTTGTTTAATATGTAGTCAGTTTTTTAATGCTTAAAGTTTGTATGACAGGAAGGAATATTCTCTAATTTCTGACTGTAGGGATGTATTTTTTAAATCTTCTACAATCTTTTGGGTTTTTGAGGACTTGTTCGAAAATTCCATTAATTAACGAGAAAAAAACCTTTTTTAAAAAACCACAGTATTATGATGAATTTGTCAGTTTTTCATTATAATTATATCAGTTTTTGGTTTCATGCATATTGAGGTTATATTATTAAACAAATACAGTATTAGAATTGTTATATCTTCCTGATGAACCTTTTATCCTTATGCAATGTTCCTCTTTATATCTAGGACTACCATTTGATTTCAGGTTTATTTTGTCTGATAACAATGTTGATATGTTTGACATTAATATATCTGTATAGATTTTATCAGATATATTTTATCTGACATTGATAAGTTATACAAACCTTTTTCTTTAATATTATATCTGGCATATCCTTTCTGCCCATATATAACTTGTAAAATATGTGTAGTTGGGATTTTTAAAAAAATTTAGTCTGACAATATTTGCCTCTTGGTTGGGAATTTAGTACATATTTTTAGATTGATTTCAATCACCTAATTTTGTCCTTTTATGTTCTCTTTTTCAGTTTCTTTACTTTGAGTTCCATTTTGTTTATTTTCACTAGTGACAGTTACATGCTATGTTGTTTGATTCATTCTTTAGAAATTGTGATAAGTATTTTTTAGCTTTATTGAGGTATAATTGATATACATAAAATTGTACACATTTAATTTACACATCTTGAGAGGTTGAACATATGCATATACCCATGATACCGTTACCACAACCAAGGTACTAAACATACCCATTATGTTAAAAAGCGTCCTCATGTTCATTTGTGGTGGTGTTTTTTAAAAACATTGAACACATGATCCCTTCTTTTAACGTATCTTCAAGTGCACAATACCATATTATTAATGATATTGGAAAAACAATTCCCTACACCCATACCAGCCACTGTAAACCACTATTCTATTCTCTACTTCTATGAATTTGACTATTTTAGATAACCTGTATAAGTGGAATCAGCCGGTATTTGTCATTCCTCTAGGTTTATACATGTTACAAATGGCAGGATTTCCTTCTTTCTTAAGGCTGAATGCTATTCCATCATATATACCACATATTTAAATCCATCATCAGACACTGAGGTTGTTTTTTTATCTTGGCTACTGTGTAAAACATTGCAATGAAGATGGGAGTCCAGCTAATTCTTCAAGATGCTGATCTTTATTTTTTTGTATACATACTCAAAAGAGGGATTGATGGATTATATGGTTGTTCTATTTTTACTTTTTGAGAAACCTCTATGCTATTTTCTATAGTGGCTGCACCTTTCTACATTCCCTCCAACCATATATAAAGGTTCCAGTTTCTCCACATCCTTTCCAATGCTTGATATCTTTTGTTTTATTTTGTTTTGTTTATAATAACCATCCCAGTATAAGTGAAATGATACCTAATTGTCATTTTGATCTGCATGTCCTTGATGATTAGTGTTGAACACCTTTTTATATACCAAATCTAGCCAGTAAAGACTGGAGGAGAGAACTGCTTCTTAAACTGCAAAGACAGCAACAGAAAACTTCAAGGAACATGACGAATTCAGGAAATATAAATGTGACCAAAGGAATGCATTTATAACACAACTGAGAATATTGTACCCAGCAAATGTAGCCTTCAGAAATGAAGGAGAGATAGTCTTTCCCAAACAAAAGCTGAGGGAGTTCATCACCACCAGACCTGCCCTTCAATAAATACTCAAAGGGAGCTGTCAAGTTGAAATGAAAAACACTAAATAGCAATGTGAAAACTTATAAAAGCATAAAACTTACAGGTAAAGGTAAGTATATAGTCAAATTCAGGATACTTTAATATTGTAATGGTGGTTCATAAATCACATTTAACACTAACATAAAAGTTAAAAGACAAATGTATTAAAATAACTAGTTGTGATGATTCATTAATGGATACACATTACAAAAATATGTAAATAGTGATGTCAATAACATAAAATGTTGGGAGGGGAGAGTCGCAGCTACATGGGAGTCTTAGGCTGGAGGATCATTTGAGCCTAGGAGTTGTACTCCAACCTGGATGAGATATCAAGACCGCATCTCTAAAAAATGGAAAAAGACAAAAAAAACTTCTCCAAATGTGTGTTTTTATGTAAAATCGAAGTCAAGTTTTATCAGCTTAAAATGAACTGTTATACATGTACAGTGTTTTATGTAACCACAAAGCAAAAATCTATAAGAAACACATGAAAGAGAAAGAGAAAGGAATGAAGCAATTACACTGCAAAAAAATCAGCCAGTCAAAAAGGAAGACAGGAAAAGAGTAAGAAAGAAACAAAAGAACTGTAAAACAAAATTGAAAATTATTCAACACAATCAAGTGGAATTTGTAACTGGAATGCAAGAAGGGTTCAATATATACAAATCAACAAATGTAATATACTATGTCACAGAATGAGGGTAAAAAAGGAAACAATAAACTAAATGGCAACGGTTTATTAATAATTACATTAAATGGATGAAATTCCCCAGTTCAGAGTGGATGAATGGATAATAAAACAATATCCAACTATACTCTGCCTGCAAGAGACTCACTTTAGATTTAAGGGCACAAATAAGGTGAAAGTGACGAGAGAGAAAAACATATTCCATGCAAATAATAACCAAAAGAGATCAAGGTTGTCTACACTTATATCATATGAAATAGGCTTTAAATCAAAAATTGCTACAAAAGATAAAGAAAGACTTATAATGACTACATAATTATATAATGACAAGGTCAGTTCTCCAAGCAGATACACCAGTTGTAAATATGTATGTACACAGCATTGAACAGCAAAGTAACCTAAAGCAAATATTAACAGAACTAAAAGAGAAGTAGACAGTGATACAATAGCACTAGGATTGGATTCCTAATTTTAAGTGTTCTTACCCTACAAAAAAATAATAAGTTTGCAAGATAGTATGTATGTTAATTAATTCAATTTAGCCATTCCACAGTATATATATTTCAAAATCACATGCTGTACATTATAAATATTTACAATTTTTGTTTACTTAAAAATAAATTAAAATTCAAAAAATGAATTACTATCTTAAAGTATACACAAAAATCAACTGAAAATGCTTAAAGATTTAAATGTAATTCCTTCACATTACTTCACAGGGAAAATCATTTTGAGCTTATGGCTTCCTAGGGGCTAGATGACATGGCCCAAGGAGAGAAATGGTAATATGAAGAGATCAAGGATCAATTGTCTGTAACTTTTTCAATTCTTCTGAAAGTAATCTTCTATTTAGATTTGTTAATTCTTCAATCAATTTGAGTAATTTCTATTTCTCTAGGGAATCATGCATGACATCTAGATTTTCCAGTCTATTGGCATAAAATTAAACAGAGTATTCTCATGATTAATGTCTGTTTATGAGAAGGATGTTTTCATATCTTTTTATGATTATGGATTTATCTACTCCCCTTTCTATTATTTTGACATGTGTAACGTGTGTGCCAATTTATTTTTGAATCCTTCTTAATTGAGGACTTTTATCAATCTGATAAAATGTCCCTCTGTGTTCCCTTTAATACTTTCTACCTTGTATTTAATAATGTTTGATATTAATACTTTTGGATAGTCTTTCTTTATATAAGAATTTGTTGGTATAACTTTCCCAGTCATTTTATACGTCAGGTAGGTATTGTATTTCACTAGGTTAATGTAAAGTTGACTACCAGGGTTAAACTAAGAAGAGGATTACTTTTCTCCTGTAGCAAGAAATCTGGACTTGGGCAGTGCTTCAGAGCTAGTACAACCGCTCTAAAAGTCATCAAAGACCTAGGCTTCTGGCTTCTTAGTCTGCCATCTGCCACACTTCTATCTTTCTGCATAATTTCGTTTGTATGTACATCTCTTTTAAATAGCACTTTGAGGCCAGCCCAGTGGCTCATGCCTGTATTCCCAGCATTTTGGAAAGCCAAGGCAGGAGGCTCACTTGAGGACAGGAGTTTGAAACCAGCCTGGGCAACATGGCAAAACCCATCTCTACAAAAAAATACAAAAATTAGCTGAGTCTGGTGGTGCACACCTGTGGTCCCAGCTACTTGGGAGTGTGAGCTGGGAGGATTTCTCAAGCCCAGAAGTTTGAGGCACCTGTGAGCCATGATTGTACCACCGCACTCCAGTCTGGGTGACAGAGCAAGACCTTGTCAAAAATAAATAAATAAATAGTAGCTTGCATTTTTTTACTCTGATAGCCTATGTCTTTTAAAGGATTTTAATAATAATTTAAAATAAATTTTAGTATTTTAAATGCTAAAAAATTTAATCCATTCACTTTTACTTTTATTGGTAATGCATTTTGTTTTATTCTTACCATTTAATTTTATAAATAAATTTCTATGTAGTATTAATCTATTTTCTTTTGTTAGACTGAATATTCTAAGTTTATTCTGAGTGTGTGAATTTTAAAAAGTTATACATTCTATTTATATTCTGCTAGAGGTTATACTTACCCTTTTAAATAACATTGATATATTTTTATCTCATATCTGGAGTTAATGAGTATTAATATTATTTTGCAAAAAATATTTTAATTTAACATAATTCCATTTACCCCCAACAAATCCCTACTTCTCATTTTGGAATTGTCTAGAACTATTGTTTCTCATTGTAAAGTAATAGTTTCTAATCACAAATTAATAGCATAGTTACATTTAATTGTAAATCGTACTGCTTTTTTTCTTGACCTTTTAACTTATATCCAATGTTGTCTTATTTCTCTGATTTATTTTTTTAATGCAACTGGATTACGTTTGTGAGTAAATATTTCAGAAAGCATCTATGTGTGGTAAGCTTTCCGAATCATTGCATGCTTAATATTTATTTTGCTCTCTCATTTGAAGACTGCTTGAGCTGTATATATAAGTCTATGTTTCCTTGGTGTAGATTACTTGTAAGTATTCTGATTTTTATTTGACATGCAGACTCATTAAAAAGGTCTGAGCAGAGGAAAGACATGATCTGACTTAAGAGTTACAAGGATCATCCTAGTTGCTATGTTGAGAATATACTTTGGGGGTAGGAGCAGGGAAACCAGTTGGAGGCTATTGCAGAAATCCTAGCAAGAGATGGTAATGGCTTAGACCAGGGCAATACCAGTAAGGGTAGTGAGAAGTCAGCAGATTTTGAATATATTATAAATACATTTTTTAATTATTTTTAAATAATTTTACACAGCAATTTAGATTTCCTGACAGATTGGAAGAAAATAAGAAAATAAGAAGCCGGGCATGGTGGTGGGCACCTGTAATCCCAGCTACTTGGGAAGCTGAAGCAGGAGAATTGCTTGAACCCAGGAGGCGGAGGTTGCAGTGAACTGAGTGGTTGCACCACTGCACTCCGGCCTGGGCGATAGACCAAGACTCAGTCTCAAAAAAAAAAAGAAAATAGAAAATAAGAGTAATAAAGGAGAACATCAGGGTATTTGACCTGTTTAACTGGAAGTGTAGACTTGCATCAACTAAAAATGCCAGAGAATTTGGATGCTGCAGGTTGGAGTAGATCCAGAGTTCATTTGGGGACATGTTGAGTTTGAGATATCTATTACCTTCTAAATGAAGATGTTGGGTACCCCCATAATTCATATTTTACATTTATAGTTTATTTCTCCAAAAAGGATGAGGAATTAAAACTATTAAACAACCTGAGTATATAATCCATCTAGCTTTATTTTTTCAAAACTTTAAGCCTCACTTTCACATAATTTGACAATAACTAATTTTTATTGTGAAATCTAAATCTTAAAACTAATGTCCTCAGAAACAACTCTCTTTGGACATTTATATAAGTATATATAACATCTAATTTAAATAATTACACTAGTCAGTATAAATGATGTGAATGAATTTGGGAACAAATATGACTGTTGGTAAGCAACAAATTGCCAATGAAAGCATAAACACACAAACAGTTAGAGAATAGTATTTAAGATGTGCATATTCATAAGGTCAGTAAGCTTCATAGCAAAGCTATAGTGATTTAGTTAATCCAGTGAGTATTAACTGGTCATCAATTTTAAAAGTTCCTAATGTGCTATAAAATTACCTGAAAAAGAGATTGCATTATATTATTCTTCAACTAACAGTGGTGAAAGTGATCATCTCTTCAAACTGTCATTACCTCTTGGTATTATTAAACTTGTTAATCCTTCACTTTGGTGGAAAGATCTCATTTCTTTTTTTATTTCTTAAACCCAAAGCCTAGTGAGTCAGATGAAAGATCTCATTTTTAAATTTACATGTCTTTAACTGTGGATGAAGGGCATTTTTCATATGCTCATGGGATATTTGTATTTGAATTTGACTATTTTGTGCAAAATACATCTAAGATATATTCAAACTCATTATATTTGCAACATGAGCAAAAAGTTTATTTACACAGTCAATATCTTTAGTATTTATTGACTTTCATAGTAAATTGACATTTGTTGTTGTTTTGTTTAGGAATTATTTGGAACTTGTTGCAAAATCTATTCAAGATTGGATTACAAAAGAAGAAGCTATATATCAGGAATCTAAAATGAATGAGGAAATCATCAGGACCAAAGCTGAGCTGGAATTGAAATCTGCTAATGCCAGACTTACTTCTGCTAGCAAAATCTTTTCCCTTAAAAAATCTAAAAGTAAGTAACCAGTTCAACTTACACGTGGAATAAAATTCAAGAACATTCTTCTATCTCTTAATTTAATCAAGACTCTGAATATTTCAGCATTAAAAAGAATTACTCAAAAAAGTTCCTGTGATTCTTCACTTTCTCTAGTAAATAGAGTAGCTGCATTCCAAATATGGGATTGTACCTGAGTGCAATAATAGAATATTTGTTTATATTGACCCCACTTCTTGTCAAATCTGGAAGATTCCATCTGTTGTGCAGATCAAATGTTACATGTTAGAGAAATGCCAAATACCTTTATTGGTAGGATTGGTAAATTAAGCTATCTAAGATTTGTTGGCAACATAAGAAGTAAATTCAGAGTTAATAGATATCTATTTGAACAATTATAGAATCCAAAAGTGAGATTAAAACAAGATCTTTCTTAGAACAGCATACAGAAGGGTCCCAAGACTAACTGGGAGTAGGAATCCAAAGATAATAGGGAAAGAGATTTTTGGAGGCCTGTGACCGGTACTTGACAGGATATTGGATCAATATATACCTTTGTTGATGATGATGTTGTTGTGGTGGTTATGTTGTGTTATTGTGGCCTTGAGGCTGTGGGCAGAAGGGGAAGACGGTGACAGAGTAAAATAGACTTTTAGAAAGATACTTGATAAAGAAGTGAAACAATGAGATAATTCATCTAGAAAATAATCATATTTCATTGTTTGTTCAAAGAAAATGGACTCCTTGTTAATAATATTCATTTATTATAGCCAAAGTGAGAGGGATTTCTCATAAAGGAGCAACGCTACATAACTTCCAAAATTTTGGCAACCTCTATCAATTACCAAAGGAGTTTGTACCTGGCATGATTTTAAAGTAAACCATATAAAACCAAGTTAATGATGAACCATTTACCATATCGACCAAAATGGTTGTATAATCTTATCCGTTCTGGGTCCTGATGGGGAGCCAGAAGGAGAGCATTAAGTACCTAAAAAAAAGAAAAAGAAAAAGAAATAGATAGGACTACATTTTTTTAAAAAATGGGTAGGGCTGCCCTCTAATACTCACGTCTAGGGCCACACCTGCCTATTAGTAAGATAAAAAATGTGAGTTTACTGCCTTTTCTTTATAATACTACTGAAAAGACCAAAAACCTGTGAAAATCTAGATAATGGTTAATTTGGTATTGGATGTACCTGGTAGATATTGCATTCAATTTCAGGTCTCTCAAGTACGGAAAAGTATAAGTCTTCAAAATAGAATGACTACAATGGCAAGAGAAGGGCTTCAATGTGGATGGAAACGTTAGATTTGTTCGGTATAGTCTTAAAGTGGTAAACTAGGATTATTAGGTGAAAGCTTTAGAGAGAGAGAGACCGCAGTTCGATAAAAGCTGCAACGAATCAACACACTGAGAATGGAATGAACTGTCCCCAGAAACTGAGCTCCCCGTCACTGATGTGGCTCAGTCCCATTTCAGATGTTCATTCTAGAGATGGCAAGAAAAAAATCAGAGATAAATAAATGAGAAGTTGAACTTGAAAGCCTTTGAGATCTCATCTAACCCAGAGATTTGGTCCTTCTATGATATCTTATTTAAGAGTTACTAAGAAGTTTAATTGTGTCTGATTATAGGTTACAAAGGAATCAGCAAAACAGAGATATCAGATCAAGAAAAAGAAAAAGAGAAGGAAAAGATTCCTTTCATTTTAGAAGGCTCTCTCAAGGTAATCCAGCTTACATAAAGTTTAAAAACAGGCAAAACTGAACTACAGTATTACAGAACAGGATAGTGGCTGCCTTTGGGGCAGTAGTGATTGGCAAGAAGCATGAGGATGGCTTCCTGGAAGCCGGAGACCATCTCTTTTTGACCTGCTGGTACTTACAGGAGTGTCTGATTTGTGCTATTTGTGCGTTTTTGTGTGTATGTTACAGCTTATTTTTAAACAGTTTTTGAAAAACTCTGTTATTTTTTTCCCATTATGGTTTAAGGGCTTTTATGTTATTGATTCTACTGGGTTGATTCCACTTTGAGATATACATATATATTTTTATGCATTCTCTTAGAATATTTTTATAGATTTTTTTTATATTTAGATATCTATCTAAAATGTATTTTTATATAGTATAATGTAAAGGTCTTACTTTTTCTTTGTCCAGATAGGCTATGTTACTAGTACTTTTTAATTAAATATAACATTAATTCTCCCCACTGAATTTGGGTGCCGATTAGATCGCATATTAGGCACCCATTTATTCTTTGAATTCAATTTTGAATGTTGTATTCTGTTTCAGTCACCTACTTAATTATTCCTATGCATGTACCATACTATTTTAATTATGATAGCTTTGTTGCAAGCTTTAATACTGGGTAAGCAAGAGCCAACTTCCCCACCCCTATGAGAATTCAATAAACATTTAAACAAAGTTGATTAATTTTGATGAGCCTCTGGTTTCTGGATATTAATAGTAAAGAAAATTATATGCCATGCCATCAACTTTATTGTTAATTGCTGCCAAATTTTATTAATTTTTAAACTCTCTTATTTGTTTGGAGACTAATATATGTTAGTTTTCCTCTTTTGTTGATATATTGAATTATAGAGATTGATTTAACAACACAAGTTGCATTTGCATTTCTATAAAAAAATTCATGGTTTCCTTAAGTTTAGTTCTCATCCCACATAACTGCATATATCATAATTGCCTAAGGGTGTCTGGTGGGAGGAGGGACTTAGTAAAATTCACATTCCTTTACTCCATCCTAACTGCATCTTTGAGAGTAGAACCTAGTAATTTTAATTTTAATAATCTCCTGGGAACATCTTTACATACATAATAGATAAAAATTACGGTACTATATGTTCATGGCATATTGTTATTTCCATAAAAATCTGGGTTTGATTTGATAGCATTTTATTTGGAATTTTTATATCCATGGTGAATGAAATTGGTCTATAGACTTTTGTGTTGTTATTAACAAGCATTGGTATTAAGGTTATGTTGGCTTATAAAAACTTATTTTTGTTACTTATTTTTTAACTGAGAAAAATGGTATATATTTCTGGTGTACAACATAACGTTTTGAATTATGTACCTATTATATAATGGCTAAATCAAGCTAATTAACATATGCATCACCTCACATAGTTATTATTTTTATGTGGCAAGAATACTTAAAATCTAATTTCTTAGCAATTTTCAAGTATACATTTCATTGTTATTAACTATAGTCATCATGTTGTACAATAGATCTCTTGAATGTATTCCTCCTGTCTAACTGAAATTTCACAACCTTTGACCAACGTCTTTCCGATCCCCTTTCCTGCAGCCCCTGGTAACCACCATTCTGCTCTCTGTTTCTGTGAGTTCAGCTCTTTTAGAGTCCACATATAAGTGCGATCATGTGCTATTTGTGTTTCTGTCCCTGGCTTATTTCATTTAATATAATGTCCCCCAGGCTCATCCATGTTGCCGCAAATAACAGAATTTTCTTCTTTCTAAAGGCTGAATAGTATTCCATTGTGTGTGTGTGTGTGTGTGTGTGTATGTCTATATATACTTTTATATATTATAATAGTTTATATATTATAATAGTATTATATATTATATGGTTTATATATTGTAATAGTATTGTATTTACAGTATATATAACACTATATTAATTACACTATATATTATAACTATATATTATATAATATGTATTATGTATTTTGTGTATATATACATACATAATACATAATGTAGTATGTACATAATGTAATATATGTATACATAGTATTATAGAATATATACATAAAATAGTACTCCATTGTGTGTATCTCACATTTTCTTTATTCATTTATTTGTTGATGGATGTTTAGGTTGATTCCATATCTAGGCTATTGTAAATAATGCTGCAATAAACATGAGTATGCAGATACCTTCTCAAGATATTGATTTCAGATCCTTTAGATATATATCCAGAAGTGGGATTGCTGGATTATATGGTAGTTCTAATTCTAATTTTTGAGGAGCCGCCATACTGCTTTCAATAGTGGCTATGGTAATTTACATTCCCATCATCAGTGTACCATGGTTCTCTTTTCTCCACATCCTCCCCAACATTTATTATCTTGTCTTTTTTCTCATAGCCATTCTGTCAGGTGTGAGATGATATTGCATCATGAGTTTAATTTGCATTTCCTTGCTGATTAGTTATGCTGGGCTTTTTTTTCCTGAACCTGTGGGACGTTTGTAAGCCTTCTTTTGAGAAATGTCTGCTTAGGTCCTTTGCTCATTTTTAAATTGGGTTATTTGTTTTCTTGCTACTGAGTTGAGTACCTTAGGTATATTTTTAGATATTAACTTCTTATCGGTTGCAGGTTTTCGAGTATTATGTCATATTCCATAGGTTGTTTCTTCACTTTGTTGATTGTTTTCTTGTTGTGCGAAGGTTTTAGTCTAATGTGATGCCATTTGTCTATTTTTGCATTTGTTGCCTGTGCTTTTGAGGTCATATTCAAAACATCATTGCCCAGAACAATGTGATGGAGATTTCTCTTGTGTTTTCTTCTAGTAGTTTCATAATTTCAGGACATACATTTACGTCTTTAATCCATTTGGTGTTGTTTTTTATGCATGGACATTAGATAAGAGTGTAATTTCATTCTTTTGCATGTGGATATCCAGTTTTCCCAACACCATTTATTGAAAAACTTGGTCTTCCTCAATTTTGTGTTCTTGGCATCTATGCTGAATATGAATTGACTGTACATGTGTGCATTTACATATGGGCCCTCTATTGTATTCCATTGGTCTGTGTGTTTATGCCAGTACCATGGTGTCTTGATTACCATAGCTTTATAGCTAACCATTTTGAAATCAGGTAGTGTGATACTGTTACTGGTGGTGAATCCATATGGGTCTGCGGCAACCTCAATTCTTGCCTCCTCAGAAGAAAGAATTCAACTGAGGTACATAAGGCAGAAGGAGAGTCTGAGGCAAGTTTTAGAGCAGAATTGAAAGTTTATTAAAAAGCTTTAGAGCAGGAATGAAACGAAATAAAGTACACTTGGAAGAGGGCTGAGCAGGTGACTTGAGAGATCAAGTGCACAGTTTGATGTTTTGACTTGGTGTTTTAAATGTTGGCGTACTCCAGGGTCTTGCATTACTTCTCCCATGATTCTTCCCTTGGGGTGGGCTGTCCACATGTGCGGTGGCCTGCTAGCATTTGGGAGGGGAGCAGGCATAGTATGATTTCTGGAGTTGTATGCATGCTCACTTGAGACATTCTTCCCTTACCAGTCTAGCATTCCTAGAGGAAGTTCATATACCAGTTAAACTCCACTATTTTGCCTCTTAACGCACATTTTTGAGCCCACTCACCCAACTCCTGAGGTCTCACTGGGAAGCTGCTGATCACCAGTTTCAGGTGTTTTCCATCTACTGGGAGACGCCCCTTCCCTGGCACCAGCTGTGACCAATTATTATTTTAGAGAGACAGTTAACAACTGCCTGGCCATCACCTGATGGTCATCTGGCATTCCTGTTGTGTGTAACGGGTGGCAGCCCTCATCTGCCCTGCTCATGCCTGACTAGCTACCTACTGTATCAATACCTCTAGCATTTTTATTTTTGCTCAAGATTGTGTTGGCAATTAGGAGTCTTTGGTAATTCCCTACAAGTTTTAGGATTTTTTTCTATTTATATGAAAAGATGACATTGGAATTTTGATAGGGATTGTATTGAATCTGTAGATCACTTTGGGTAGCATGGACATTTTTATTGTGTTGAGATACATTTCCTCTTTCTCTACCACATTTCTTCTTTATCTACTTTGTTGAGAGTTTTTATTATGAAAGGATATTTGAGTTTGCCTTATGTTTTTTCCACATCTATTGTGATGATCATATGATTTTTATCCTTCATTCTGTAATATGGCGTGTCACATATATTGACTTGAATATGTTGAATCATCTTTGCATCCCAGGAATAAATCACACTTAATCATGAAGAATGAGACTTTCAAATATGCTGTTGAATTCAGTTTACTAGAATATTTTGGAGGATTTTTGCATCTAACATCACCAGGGACAATGGCCTGTCATTTTATTTTCTTGCAATGTCTTTGTCTAGCTTTGGTATCAGGGTAATGTTGGCTTCATAAAACGAGTTTGGAAGTATTCTCTTCTCTTTATTTTTTTCATAGAGTGAGATGAATTTGTATTAGTTCTTTAAATGTTTGAGATAATTCGTTAGTAAAGCCATCAGGTCCTGGGCTTTTCATGATGGGAGACATTTTCTTACGGATTCAGTCTCTTCATTGTTATTTGTCTGTTCAGTTTTATATTTCTTCATGACTCAATCTCGGTAAGTTGTATGCTTCTAGGAATTTATTCATTCCATCTAGGTTATCAATTCATTAGTGTGTAATTATTCATAGAACCCTCTGTGATCCTTTGTATTTTATTTTATTTATTTTTATTTTTATATATGTATTTTTTTGAGATGGAGTCTCGCTCTGTCGCCCAGGCTGGAGTGCAGTGGTGCGATCTCTGCTCACTGCAACCTCTGCCTCCCGGGTTTAAGCGATTCTTCTGCCTCAGCCTCCCGAGTAGCTGGGACTACAGGCACCACCACGCCTGACTAATTTTTGTATTTTTATTAGAGAGGGGATTTCACTATATTGGCTAGTTTGGTCTCGAACTCCTGACCTCATGATCCACCTACCTCAGCCTCCCAAAGT